CAGAATCGACGACGCGGGGCGGCTTCAGACGAAAAACCCGTGAGCGCGCGCGTCGCGCGCGCGGAGGCTCGGGCGACGACTTCGAACGAACGACGGACGCGCGCGAGGAAGACGAAGCGAAGCAGAACGCACCGTAAACCTTCAGCGGGCGGTCTCGACGCGGCGCGTGGCGCCGCAAGACGTAATCCGCGATCGCGTTCGCGTAGTGCGGCTTGAACACCTCGACCGGGGTGAGCCACTGCGACGACAGCGCGGCGTATCGCCCCGCGAGCGCGCGATGGTAGTCGTCCGCGCCGGCGAGCGCTCGAAACGCGATCGGCGCGCGCATCTCGCCGACGGGCGGCGTCGCCCTCGCGAAGTACCCGCGCTCGCGGCCGTACAGCGACTCGCGGATGAAGTCGCGCAGGAGGACGCCGCGGGGAGCGTCGACCGCGGGTGCGGACTCGTCGCCGGTCGCGGTCTTCGTCGTCGTCGTCGTCGACGACGACGACGACGACGACGACGACGACGACGACGACGACGACGCGAACGCGCGATCGAGGCCGGCGACGGCCTCGCGCGCGCCCGCGCGGACGCCTCGATGACGCGCGCGACGCGCGCGCGCAGAGGCGCGCGCGGCGAGCGACGCGAGACGTCGCGCCGCGCGCATCGTCACGCGGTCGTCGCGACGTCGAGTGCGTTCGCGGCGCGGCGACGGCGTTTGTGCTTCGTGCCGCGTCCGCGGACTCGTCGAAAAAGTTTGGAAAAAGCCAGGAAAAAGCTGAAGTAATTTTTTAACAAAAAAACACAGAGCGATGAAAATTGATCGATGAGAGCGCTGACGACGTTTGAAATTGGCGATTTGAAGCCAGGAAACGCGATTTTCATACAGGTTTTCATACTACGAATCCGAAAAAAAACACCGCCTCGGGCGGACCTCACTCTACTCACAGGTCAACTACGTCGCACGCGCCTCGTCGTCGCGTCGCGTCGCGTCGTCACACTCACGCCGCGCGCGTCGGACCGCGCTCTCGCGCCGACCCCTCTCGCGTCCGCATCCGCGACGGTCGACGGTCGACGCGGAGGGCGGGCCGCGGACGGTAAAATCCGGCGGGCGCCCGCGCGATGGCGTCCTCGGGCGGCGGCGGCATCCCGAACGAGCGCCACGCGGGGCAGCGCGTGAAGCCCGGTCAGAAGTACCAGAACCGCGAGGGGTTCAAGGCGCACAGGAACATGAAGCGCGCTGTCCGCGACGTCGACGCGGAGAACGACCTGCGACATCGCGCGTGCCAGGGCGTCTGCCGCCGATGCGCGCAAAAGGCACGAGAGGCGGTCCCGTCGGAATCGCGCGTCGTCCGTCGTCCGTCGTCCGCCCGGCGAAACCCCGCGAGATCGTCGTGCGTCCCCACGCCCAAAAAAATCCAAACCCGAAACCCTAAACCACCGCACCCATCCCGCTGAACTCGAAACCCCACCACCACACGCCTTTCCCTCGCCCGCGCGCCCGCGCAGGTGCAGTGGCGGTTCCAGTACCAAAAGTACCGAGCGCTCCGGCCGGGGAAACACGGCAAGTGTCACGCGTGCGAGCGCGCGGTGCACTTCTCCTATCGAAACTTATGCCAGGTGGGCGTATGTCACGTCTCTCTTTCTCTTCACCTACCAATAACGACCACGCGCGTGTCCACGTCATCGAATCGTATCACTCGCTGACCAATCGTATCCCGCCACCCGGCCGCAGACGTGCGCGACGACGAAAAAATTGTGCCCCGGGTGTTCGAAACCTCCCGCGGAGTCGCAGCTCGCGCGGCCGGACGAGCTGTCGGACGGGGGGGACGACGGCGAGGACGAGAGTACGGACGACGACGAGTACGAGGGCGTCGTCATCACCCGGCACTGAGCGCCCGGCGAGCGAGCGAGGCGAGCGAGGGGGGAGAGTGTGCTTCAGGAAGGGACTTTCAGCCCGTGTAGACTAAGCGTGCGTACGTTGTACACACGACACGGTGCAACGTTCCTCGATTCCTTTACACGTACCGCGCCGCGTCCTAGGGTCCCTATCCTGCACGCGGCGACGACGAGGCGGCCGCGCGAGTGGCCTCTGGGAGTTACCTTGGTACGGGAGTACGGAAGTACTTCCGGTGAGTACTTCCGGTACGTGTATGTGTACCTTCCGCGCGCGCCGTCATCGCCTTCTCGGTGAGGAACGGCGACGAACGTTTCTTTCGCTTACGCCAGCCATCCCTCGTCATCATCCGGCAGATGGTGCTGGGACTGAGGTATACGCCGAAGATGCGGAGGAGCTCCTTGCTTAGTCCTTCGATAGTTAAGCCACCTTGAAACGCTCGATTGACTTCATAAAGCTTCGCTTTGATTTCCTCGTCCGCCTTTTGCGGGCGGCCCGGGATGACCTTGGGCTTCGTCTCGCCTAGCTTGTCCTGTTTTTTGTACTTAGCGTACGCGTTCTTAGAGAATCCCCACCTCGCGGTCGTCGCGGCGACGCTTATTCCCTTGGCCTTATTCGCTTCCACCGCACGGATGAATCGAAGTTTGTCACTCTCGGAAGCGTTCGTCCCCGACGCCCGCACGAAGAACGCGGGAGGCGGAGGGACCTCCGGAGAAGCCGAGACTTGCTCCGACGGTCGCGTGCGTGACGAGCTCCGCGTCGGCGTGTCTCCCCACACCTCGGACCGTCGTCGGCGCCTTGCGCGAACGCCTTGGGGCGGAGTGAACAAATCTCCATCGGAGTCACCGTACTCGCGTGAAGGGGGTGCCGACTCGCGAGATTGGCGTGGAGATTGCAAGGTGGTTGTAGCGCCAAGTTGCATGGGAGACCCGCCCGGCATGCCGGGACTATTCCCGGGGTCGGGGGAGACCGCGTCGTGCCCTTCGTTGTCGTTTCTTTCGCGGTTAACGGCCAAAAGAGAGAGCGGCGACGTCAGTCTACTCGCCATACGAGAAAAAAAACTACTCGTACTTCCTGGCGCGCTCTGCCGCCGCGCAGGCGCGTCGATTTGAAAATTCATCGCGGATTCAAAGGGAACTCGACGCGAGGGACGATCAAGAAGAGATTCGCGCAGCGATGAGCGCGAGAAAGTTGAAAGGCGCTTAAAACTGGCATTTTTTCGCGTTTTTCCCTCTTTTTTCTGAAAAGGAGGAAGGTATCAAACTTCGTAGCTTGATCCGGAGTGTACTCTCGTCCGACCGGCCGGTTTTGTGATCCAAGAACTGACTCGCGCTACGCGCTAAGCGAAAATGCTGTATCATACTAAGATTCCATACGATTGTTTTCGTACTCGTACTCTATGGTTTTTTTGTTTCAATCGTAGCGCACACTGGTCTGATCCACGCCACGTCGCGGAGGTGCCGAGATCACGTCCTCGCGCGGACGCCCGCGCCGCCGCGATGACGACCCCGACGAGCATTGACACCACGGCCGCTACGTCGCCGCCGCGGCTCCCCCTCGACGCGGACGCGCTGCTGCGGTACGCGCGAGCGCGCGTGCGCGCGTTCCCGCGCGACGCGAACGTAGAGCTGCGCGTCACGCAGTTCGGCCACGGGCAGTCGAATCCGACGTACAAGGTCGAGTGCGTCCGCGTCGACGACGCGCGGACGACGAAGCGTCCGCCTCGCGTCCTCGCGACGTACGTCCTGCGCAAGAAACCTCCCGGCGCGCTCCTGCGCTCCGCGCACGCGGTCGAGCGCGAGTTCGCGGTGCAGCGCGCGCTGTCGTCGCGCGCGGCTCGGCGCGTCGCCGTCGTGCCCGTGCCCGCGATGATCGCGTCGTGCGACGACGCGAGCGTCCTCGGGACGCCGTTCTACCTCATGTCGCACGTGCGCGGCCACGTGTTCGTCACCCCAGGGCTGGAGCGCCTCCCCAGCGCGGCGCACCGCGCGACCGTCTACCGCGACATGGCCAGGATACTCGGCGGGCTGCATCGGATCGATCCGAGCGCGGTCTCGCTGCGAGACTTCGCCGGCGGCGGCGGCGCGCGTCGCGAGAGCGACGCTCGCACGTACAGCGCTCGGCAGCTCAGACGATGGACGAGGCAGTACGACGAGAGCTGCCGAGACGGCGGCGACGCGGAGCGCGAGCCGTGCATGCGCGAGCTGATTCGCTGGCTGAGCGCGAACGTCCCAAAAGACGAGCCGGGCGGACGTCTCACGCACGGGGATTACCGCCTCGATAACCTCGTGTTTAAACGCGCCGACGGCGGCGGCGGCTGCGTCGCCGTCCTCGACTGGGAGCTCTCAACGCTCGGGTGTCCGTACGGAGACATCGCGTACAACTGCATACCGTATCACCTTCCTCGCACGCGACCGGGACGCGTGAACGCGTCGTATCCCGCGTTCGAGGAAGGCCCGCTTCCGGACGGGATACCGACCGAAGCTGAGCACGTGCGCGCGTGGTCCGAAGCGAGCGGATTGCCGAACCCGATGACGTCAGGGACGTGGCCGTTCTACGTCGCGTTGTCTCTGTTTCGCGCGGCGGCGATTCTCGCGGGGGTGCGCCGCCGCGCGCGGGAGGGAAACGCGTCTTCCGCGAACGCCGCCGCGGCGGGGGCGTTGGTCGAAACGCTTGCAAAGAGAGCGTTACTCGTCGCTGGCGTTCCCGAACCCGCGGCGGCGGCGGCGGCGGTCGACGACCTCGCCCAGTCGCGCGTCGGGTTCCCCGGACGCTCGTCGATCGCGTCCGCGTCCGCGTCCGCGTCGACCGTCCGCGCGCCGGTCGGCTTCGAGCCGAGCGAACGCGCGGCGAAACTGCTCGTGTCCCTCCGTCGGTTCATGCGCGAGCACGTGTACCCGAACGAGGTGAGACTGCCCACCGCGCGACTTCTTTCGTTCGCTCGTCGCGCGTCGTTCCTCGAGGACTGACGTTTCCCGTCGACGCTCTTCACGCGCCCGCGCTTCCCTTTCAACAAACGCCGTCCGTCGTTCGACCGGTGGGACGCTCGACTGACCCGACCCGACCCGACCCGACCCGACGCGCGCGTTCCCTATCAGGCGGCGTTTGAAGCGCACGCGGCGAGCGCGGAGCGCTGGACCGTTCCCTCGATGACCGAGGAGCTCAAGACGCTCGCGCAGCGCGCGGGGCTGTGGAACCTCTGGCTCCCCGTGGACTCGCTCGAACTCATGAAGATCGGCGGCGGCGGCGGCGGCGCGCTCGATGAGGGAGGAAAAAAACTCTCCAAGAGCGAGCTTTCATTACTCACCGGGCCGGGGTTGACGAACCTCGAGTACGCGCACCTCGCCTCGGAGATGGGCGCTTCCGTGTGGGCGTCGGAATTCTTCAACTGCTCAGCCCCGGACACGGGGAACATGGAAGTTCTCCTGCGCTACGGCACGGCGTCGCAGCAGACGCGTTGGCTCGCGCCGTTGCTCCGCGGGGAAATTCGGAGCTGTTTCGCGATGACCGAGCCCGAGGTGGCGTCGTCGGACGCGACGAACATTCGCTCTCGCGTCGTCCGCGACGGCGACGAGTACGTCTTAAACGGTCGGAAGTGGTGGACGAGCGGCGCGTGCGACCCGCGGTGAGACTGTTTCCCATGCAACCCCGTTCGCGCGCGCGTTGAACGTCGATCCTCGATGACTCCTTTCGTTTCGGTTCGCGCGCTACGAGTGAACCTCGCGCTCGCGTTGACGACGCGCGGGAATGTCACCGACCAATCACGCGCCCGCGCGACTGACGCGCGTCTTTCCCTCGACCGCTCGCGTCGTCATCTCATCTCGCGGCAGGTGCGAGGTCGCGATCTTCATGGGAAAGACGACGACGGACGAAGACGCCGCGAAGGCGAACGTCCCGAAGCATCGCCAACAGAGCATGGTGCTGGTTCCGATGCGCGCGAAAGGCGTGGAGGTCGTTCGACCGCTGAGCGTGTTCGGATACGACGACGCGCCGCACGGGCACGCGGAGACGACGTTTCGCGATGTCCGCGTGCGCGTCGAGGTGAGTCGAGACTGCTTTCCATACGAATCCAATCGCGCGTCGCGCGTCGTTCCCTTCTCGAGGGAGAATGCGTTTTTTTTTCCGCGAGCTACCGCGCGAGTGAACCTCGCGCTCGTAGCGACCGCGTCTGACGCGCGGGAACGCTCTACGCCGAATGCGGAATCGCGCGAGCGCGCGAACGACGACTGACGCGCGTCTTCCCTCGACCGATCACATCACAGGACGCGATTTTGCTCGGCGAAGGTCGCGGGTTCGAGATCGCGCAAGGTCGACTCGGGCCCGGACGATTGCATCACTGCATGCGGCTGATCGGGATGGGCGAACGCGCGCTGCGTCTCGCGTCGCGACGCGCGGTGAGACAGCTCCACGCGCGACGGCGACCCCCGCTCGCGTGTCGTCTTCTTCTTTCTCGCGTGTCGTCTTCTTCTTTCGCGCCCGTCTCCTCCCTTGTTTCACGGTTTCGACGTCTGATCGCGTCTACGTCGGTCGCTCACGACCGACCGACGAACCCTCGCGTTCGCTCGCGTGAACTCTGCTCGCGTTGCCCTCCCTAAACCCTCAGGCGGAGCGCGTCGCGTTCGGTAAACCCCTCGCGGCGAACGGCTCGACGCTGCAGACGCTGGGCGCGTGTCGCGTCCGTCTCGACGGCGCGAGGCTGATGACGCTCGAGGCTGCGAGGATGTTGGACGCGGAGGGGAACAAACGCGCGAAGGGCGCGATCGCCGCGTGTAAGATCGCCGCCCCGAAGGCGGCGCTCGCGGTCATCGACGCCGCGATTCAAATTCACGGCGGGTTGGGCGTGTGCGAGGACACGCCGCTCGCGCGGATGTTCGCTGGCGCGAGGACGCTGCGACTGGCGGACGGTCCGGACGAGGTGCATTTGGAGACGGTGGCGAGGATCGAGGTGAGGAACGCGAAGTTGTGAACGTCGTGAGGGGAGCGTTTGAGTGACGCTGAAATTAATACTCGTAAAAAAACAAATTCCGGATTCCAAAACTGACTCGCGCTACGCGCTAGGCGAAAATACTGTATCAGACTAAGATTCCATACGAAATTTTGCGTACTCGTACTCTATGGTTTTTTAGTCTGAATCGAGTTAGCGGCACTGGTCTATTCCGTACGTGTACCTTCTGTTCGCCATCTTCCAGGTGCGCGGCTGTCGTCGTCGTCGTCGGGACACGTGGACGTGCACGGCGCGATGCGCCGTCGCGTCCTCCTCGCGCTCGTCCTCGCGACGACGACGTCGTCGCTCGCGGTCGCGGCCGAGCACCACGTCCTGCGATCGAGCCCGGAGACGACGCGCTTCGGCGGATGGAGCGCGTCGTACGAGGTGCGTCCCATACACTGGTTCCCATACGACCGCGCTGGCGTGGTGAACGCCGATCCTTAAGGACTTTTGCCGTCGTCTCTCTGCGCCCACCCCTCGCTTTCAATCCCCGCCATCGACGCCTTTCAACGCCAACTGACGCCTTTCAACTCCACCCCGACTTTCGCTCGTATGGAACGACCCTGAGCCCGTCGCGACCGTGGACGACGGCGACGTCGTCGAGCTGTACTCCGTCAGCGGCGAACCCGGAGGGATCCCCCCGGCGCGATGGCCGATACCAGACGAGCTCGGGGCGATCTGGAAGCGTTCGTGCGGCGCCGAGGACGGGACGCAGCCTCGACGCGCCGCGGCGAACCTTCCGCCGCTGCGTCACTGCGGCGAGGCGGGACCGCACCTGCTCACCGGTCCGGTGCGCGTCCGCGGCGCGGAGGTCGGCGACGTCCTCGCCGTGGAGATCCTCGCGTCCGAGCCGTGGGTGCCGTGGGGATGGAACGCGCTTCGAGCGGGGAAAGGCGCGCTCGCCGCGCTCGACGACGACGACGACGACGACGACGCGTTCGCGTTCCTCCGCGACGGCGTCGACGAGACGATCGTGATCCCGATCGATCTGGACGCGCGCGTCGCGACGCCGCCGTGGACGCGCGGGGTCTCGATCCCTCTGCGCCGCCGCGACGACGACGACGACGGGGACGACGACGGGGACGAAGGCGACGACGGCGGCGGAAGACGGAACGTCGACCGACGAACACGCTGGCGCGAACCGTTCTTCGGGCAGCTCGGCGTCGCGCCGCGTCCCGACCGCGGCGTGGTGAGCAGGCGCGTCCTCCTTCCTCGCGCCGGTCCCCGCGCGACCGCGTTCGCGCGGGCGGCGCGCGCCTTTCCTCGAGAAGGACGCGACGTCGTTAATTTACCACTCCGCCGACCGCTCGGTTTCGACGCTCGACCGCGACGGCTCGCGACTTGAACTGACGCGTCCCCCGAACGCCGCCCCGACGCTTTTTCGTATGGGAAAATACCCTCAGCGTCGAGCCTGGCGCGCACGGCGGTAACCTCGATAACCGGCTGTTGACGCCCGGGTCGACGGCGTACTTCCGCGTGAACGTCCCCGGCGCGATGTTCAGCGCGGGGGATGGACACGCGATGCAAGGCGACGGCGAGTTCTCCGTCACCGCGCTCGAGACGAGCCTGCGAGGAACGTTTCGACTGTCGGTTATTAAAAATAACAGCGGCGACGCCGTTCTCGCGGGGTTCCCCGCGGTGAGACTGCTTCCCGTGCGAATCTCCTCGCGCGTTGAACGTCGTTCCTTGATGACACGGACTTCTTTCGGTTCGCGCGCTACGAATGAACCTCGCGCTCGTGTTGACGACGCGCGGGAATGTCACCGACCAATCACGCGCCCGCGCGACTGACGCGCGTCTTTCCCTCGACCGCTCGCGTCAAACCGCGTCAGGACGCCCCGCGCGCGATGACGCGATCGCACTATCTCACGATGTCGTTCCACGAGAGCCTGGACGTCGCGCAGAACCTCGCGCTGCGCGATATGCTGCGCTGGATGCGCCGAGTCACGGGCCTCCGCGTGGTCGATCTGTATCGCATGAGGTTCGGTTCGGGACTTTTTTTTGGAGTGGTTCTGTTTGTTCCCCCCCACCGCCCCCCCACACCGCCCCCCCACCCCCTGGAAAAATCCGACCGCGGTCCCTTCCTTCCCGCGCAGCTCGCTCGTCGGGGACATGTCGGTCACGCAAGTCGTGAACGGGAAGAAGGGCGTGCACCTCGCGTTTCCGCGCCGGTGCGTTTTTTTTTCTTTTTTTCTTTCTCTTCGCCCGCGCGTGCCTTTCGACGTCGTTCGACCGGCGCGAGACGTCCAACTGACCGACCGACGAACGTCCATGGACCCTACGTCCTTCCAGGACGATGGACGAGATCGCGCGCGCGGGGGGGATGGGTGAAGGGCAGCGGGGCGCGCGCGTCGCCAAGGCGGGCGTGAGACTCGCGGGCGCGTTGCGGCGTTTCGGTTTCGAGTCCGCGGCGGCGTTTTGCGAGGCGCGCGTTTTGTGACGTGCGGATAGGGCCGCGTAGAACGTTGTAAATATACTGTAATATTATACTGTACGGAAAGTAGGGTATTTTTGCGCGTCCGTCCGTCCGTCCGTCCGTCCGTCGCGCGGTGACGCGTCGGCGTTTCTCCGTTCTCCATTCCAGAAGCCTTCAGGGTCGTTCCATACGAGTGAACGTCGGGGTGGAGTTCAAAGGCGTCAGTTGGAGTTGAAAGGCGTCGAGGTGTGTCGGGATTGAAAGCGAGGTGTGGGCGGAGAGATGCGCTGGGCGAAGTCCTTAAGGAACGGCGTTCACCGCGCGAACGGGGTCGTATGGGGACCAGTGTAAGGAATACGCACCTCAGTCGTTCTTCGTCGAGTCGAGGTACGCCGCGTACACGAGGCACAGGAGAGAAAACGTGAAGAACCCTCCGATCGGGGAGCTCTTCTTTTGGGTCCTCCCGCGCGTCGTCTTCTTCGCGGAGGAGGGCCTTCTCGCGTTCTTCGACTTTGTCGTCTTCGACGATTTTGTCGTCTTCGACGATTTGGCGTTCGTCGCGGCGTCGGCGGCGGACGACCGCTTCTTCGTTTCGAGCCTCGGCGGCTTCGGCGGCGTCTTCACGAGCAGCGGGTTCGGGTCCGCGGGAGGTTTCGCGACGACAGCCTGACGACGACGCGGAAGAAGGACGCGATCGGATCGGTCAGCGCGGGGTAACATCGTGACGCGATTGGACAAAAGACGCCGACGTGGATGAGACCGCGTGGGTGGCCGACGCCGAAAAGTCTTCAGCTCAGAAGCAGGCAGCGTTTACCGCGCGAACGGGGTCGCTCGGGAGCAGCCCAGCGCGAACGGAATCGCACCTTCGGCTTCGGCTTCGGCTTCAACGCGACGACCTTGACTTTTTTCGCCTTCAAAGCCGGTTTGGGCGCCATCTTCTTCTTCAACGCGTCCTTCCTCGCCCGCTTCGCCTGCTTCGCGGCGTCTTTCGCTTTTTGTTCCTTCAGCGCCTTCGCCTTGGCCGCTTTCTCGATCGCCGCGTTCTTCTTCGCGTTCGCGGCGTTCTCCTTCGCGACGCGTTCGTCTCTCTCGCGCCGCTTCGAAGCTTGCTCGGCGGCGAATTTCTCGTCTCGCGCGCGTCGCTCCTCTTGATTCGCGGCTGGAGGTCGTTGCCCATACGAAGCGACGTCGGGGCGGAGTTTGGGCGCGCGTCGGATGGAGTCGAAAGGCGTCGCTCGCGGTGTGTCGGGATCGAAACCGAGGGGCGGGCGGGCGCAGAGAAACGACGGACGGCGAAAGTCCTCGAGGAACGGCGCGCGCCGCGCGGACGGGGTCGTACGGGGACAAGTGTGAACGCGAACGCACCCGACTTGGCGAGCTTGGCTTCTTTCTTCTGTTTCATCGTCGCCAGCGCGTCCGCCTCGCGCTGAAGGGCGGAAGGAAGGGCACGCGCGTCCGGTCAATGCCACGTCTCACCGGTCGAGCGTTGAAAGGGAGGCGTGGGGTGAAGAAGAGAGACGACGCCACGATGGGAAAAGTCCTCGAGAGAGACGAGCCCGCCGGCGTCCGACCCGCGAAGAGAGTCGCACGGGGACCGGTGTCGAGGGCGGGGATTGAAACCGAGGGATGGGCGGATTTAAAAGACGGGCGAAGTCCTTAAGGAACGGCGTTCACCGCGCGAACGCGGTCGTACAAGGAGGGACCAGTGCGCACCTGAAGCTCCAGACGCAGCCGCGCCGCGCGCTCCGCCTTCTTCGCGTCCTCGTACGTCGACTTCTTCACCGCGATCGCGGCGTCTTTCGCCGCCTGCTCCGAGGGGTACGCGCAGGTGGCATCGAATCAGTCGCGAGGGGAGCGAGATTCGCGGTCGAATCGTCTTCTTCATCGGTCGGTCGGTCGACGTGCGGGCTTCGCGGTCGACGCTCGAAACCGGACGCGGGGCGAAGAGAAAGCGGGGAGAACGTCCGAACGTCCGAGGATCGACGTTCAACGAACGCGCGAACGGGGTCGCGCGGGACGTGGTCCGACGCGATGCGTCGCGTCATTCTTAAGAAACGGCGTTCTCCGCGCGAACGCGATCGTATGAGGACCATCGCGAGATGGAACGCGCCTGCTCCGCGCGCCGGGACTCCGCGCGTTGAATCGCGTCCTCCGCCCTCTCGCGTTCGCGCGCCTTCATCGCGGCTTCGCGCGCCAACGCGGCTTCCGCGTCCGCCTTGACCCTTTCCGCGCCGGTCAGACCCGCCGGGGCCGCGGCGTCGGATTCGGATTTCGACGACGCGGAGGTCTCGAGCCATCGCGGATCGAAAAACGCGCTCGTCGACGGCGGCGGCGACGCGAGCGAGGAGGACCTCGCCTCCGCGCCGAGGGTGAACTCCCGCGGCGGCGGCGGCGAAGACGACGGCGTCTTCTTCGCGGCGGCGGCGGCGGCCGCGGCGGCTTTGGCCTTCTTCGGCGCGACGGCGGCGTCGTCCGGCGCGCTCACGCGCGCTTGGTTCGCCGCGCTGCGGTCGACGCCGCGCGAAGTACATTCGTCGGTCAGTTGAGACGGTTGTCGACGAGACGCGACGAGACGTTGAAATGTTGAAAACGCAGCGAGGGATATGGCGGGGGTGAAAAAAAAAACTTCATCGGACGCACCTGACGCTCTCGTACAACGCCACGGCGTCGACCGTCTCCGTCGCGGGGGGTGTCGCGTCCGCGCGTGCTGGGTGAACTTCCGCGACGACGGCGACGGCGAGGGCCGCCGCCGCCGCCGCGGCGGCGGAGGCGACGCGCGCGACGACGGTTCGAACCGCGTCGTCGTCCACGGTGGCGTCCACGGTGGCGTCGTCCACGGTGGCGTCGTCGCTCGCGCGGGGGACCGCCGTGGGGGGCGCGCGCGCGGGACGCGCGCGGACGACGACCGCGCGCGTCGTGCGGTTCGGTCGGCGCGTCGTCGGGGACGCGCGCGCGCGCGCGGTCGTCGTCCGCGCGAGAGAGGTCATCTGCGTCGTCGAAGGAGGGTGGGGCGTGCCGTGTCAGGGAGTAATCAGCATCAAAATGTCGAAACGCGAACGAACGCGCGGCGGAGGGATACGAGAGCGCGCGGGGACGGGACGCGCCGCGAGTCGACGTGATGCGGGCGCTCGTCGCGCGCGAGAGTGCGGGGCTCGGTTTCCTTCTTCCGCGACGACGGTGCGTGCGGCGGTGCACTGACTACCATTCGCGGGACCTGCAGTATATCAGATGCCCCACTCATACGTGACAGAAACGTGACTCTGACTATTTGCCCATACGTAACCTGGGGAAGGGGCCCAAATTCCAATACAGGATATGGGATATGTATTGGATGGATCCAATACAGGATAACCCTACACCAGCTTCGTACTTTCGTATTCTATAATATGGTATCGAAACATACAGTATCCCGTCGTCAGATATTTCTTTCCGATCTTCGCCTTTCGACGCATTATTCGATCGCCATTCGTCGCGTCGCCTCGCACCCCCGCGTACGGTACCCTTTCGCCGTCGAACCGCGCGCTTCTTACAAAAACACCCCGTCGAGAACCAGCAACCATGGGTCCGTGCCTCTCCCTGCTCCCCGTCGGCAAGCCCGCGCCGGAGGGTCCGTACGAGATGCAATCCGAAGAATCGCGCAAGTGGCTCGACAGCAAGGCGCCGCTCGGCGAGACCGGCGGCTGCAGCGGCGATCCGGAGCCGTACTCGAAGCAGAGGCCCAAACATTTCACAGGCCAGTCGAACACGAAGATCATTAGCAAGTTCGCCCTCGGCGCGTCCGTGCCCTCGCTGATCAAGTACAACGTGGGCGAGTTGTCGGTCAAGACGATGCAGAATTTGGACGGCGCCGACGTGGACGTCGTAGACGGCGTCCTGCACGTCTTCGCCGGTTTCGCCACGGGCGTGGAAGCGCCGTGCGGCGTGTGGTCGTCCGCGAAGGACGCGTTCGTGATCATGCCGAGAGTCATGATGGTCGACCTGTACCTCTCTGTCGACGGGAAGCCGTACACGGACGGCCACGTCTGCCTCGGAGAGCCGTCGTTTAACAAGGACAAGGCGATCAAAGAGATCGACAACACCAACGTGATCATGGTGTACAAACACGTCGAGAAGCCGCTGGAGAACGCGCTCAGGAAGGGCCCGTCGGACGGCTCCAAGCCGTGGGCGACGGTCGTCTCCGACAAGTTCGCGGACTGCGCCTTCGTGCACCTCCCGCTCATGTACCAAGGCGACCTCGATAAGATGAACACGGCGGAGTCCGAGGCGTACGGGCACTCGCTCGTCGCGAAGTTCTCGCAGGCGCTCAAAACCGCGGGTGAGGGGACGCACAGCTTCACGCTGAGCGTGCGCCCGAGAGGGATCGTCGACGTCTCGCAGTTGGACGAGGGCGAACAGGTTTTCCAGACGGTCGGCTTAATTAACAAGTCGCCGGAGGACGTCGCGGCGCGAGACAAGGGGTTCGAGCCGCACCTCTCCCAGTTCCCGCCGCAGGTGCTCACGGATGCGAACGCGAGCGGTCTCACCGTGACGTTCACGATGGGCGTCGGGAGCGACGCCGCGAGCGGCGCCGCGCCGAGCCGGAAAGCCGCTGAGTTCTCGACGCAGTGGCCGTCGGACGAGCTCGAGGAGTGCGTCGAGCTCGCGCGGTCGCTCGCGGGGAAAGGGCCGTGCGGGCGGAAAGCGTCTCAGATGGGCGTCGGCAAGCTCGCGCACATCGTCCTCGTCGGGCGCGGCATCGAACAAAAAGTCGCGGGCTCGAAAGAGTGGGACGAGTTCCAGTGCTACGCGCTGTTTAAGGCGAAGAACGGCAGCCCGGACGCGCTCGGGGCGCAGATTTTCTTCCGCCCGCGCAAGCTCAAGGTGAAGGAGAACGGCATCCCCGTGCCAGACCCGGAGTGGGAGAGCTCGGCGTTCGGGATGCACAGCGATACGATCGAGATCGCGCAGCCGATCGCGAACAAGGAGATCGACGCCGCGATTCAGCGCGACGCGAAGTACTACGACTGGGATTGAGGCGTCGGGTTGTACTTCGAGCGATGAGCCTTCGACGACGACGCGAGAGAGAAGGGATGAGCCGGTGCGAACAAAATATTTCGCGTCGCGCTCCGGATGGAACTGACTGTACGACATACGAGAAGAGGAAGAAGAAGAAGAAGAAGAAGAAGACCTGCGAGTACACGTGTAGTAGCCCGCCCCAGTTTTATCATATTATGTACGAAGGTACATACGAGGTGGAGCCTGACCGGTCAAGCTCGGGCCTGCCCGGTCAAGCTCGGGTTCAAGCCGATGAACCGTGTACATATTTTTTTTGAGTGAGACTGATTTGCATACACGAGATTTTGTACATAAAAGCTACGAATCCGAGATTACAGCGCGAGACATTGAAATTTTTTATGAAACTGTATTTATTACTTCCAGAAGTACGTGTACACGTACACGTACAGTACTGTACACGTACTGTACGAAAAGACCTGAAAAGATTTGTGGAGGTTGTTAAATCTGGGAACTGTATCTGGGCGTGGTTGTTCGTTTCGTTCGCTCCGAGACGCCGCGCGCGCACTTCCCCGCGCTCGCCTTCGGTAGCATTTGTCATCACTGCAGTGTGCCAACATTCGATCCGACACTTCGCCCTCCGAGACATCCAACCCTCGACGACACGCGCCGACGCGCCCCGCGCCCGGAACAATGACGGAGACGACGCGCGCCGACGTCATCATGGCGACGCCGCCTCAGCGCGAGGCGTCTCTGAAGCGACCGCGCGCGCTCGCGCTCGAGGACGACGACGACGCGACGGATCTCGCCGACGTCGATCGCGCCGGACAACGACCCTCCGTCGTCCTGCGATGGCGCTACGAGGACGAGGACGAGCGCGCGATCGTCGCGGACGTCGAGCCCGCGGCGACCGAGCGCGCGCGCGCGGACGCGGAAAAAGACTTTCCGACCGAGTCGAACGAGCTCGCGATGAACGCGTTCGACGACGTCGCCCCGGGCGCTGATGGCGTCCGGCGCATCTCGAATCCGCCCGAGGACAGGGATGAGGACGCTCACGAGCGCAGGCTCGCGTCGAGAAAGCCCGGGGACGTCTGGGCACTGTACGAGCACGGCACCGGATTGCCTCGGTGGTACGTGCAGCTCCTCGCCGCGGACGAGAGCTACCTGTGCAACGACCGCCCGGCGCGATGGCGCGTCGTGCTGTTGGACCGCGACGCGAGAGCAAACGTGGGATGCCACTGGCACGAGGAGGGCGTCGACATGAGGTGGAAACTGGGAATTGGTGGCAAGTGGAAAGGATGGAGCCTCGCGAACTGTGGCGACGCAATATTCAGTCATCCCGCTTCGGCGTGCGAACACGTCGCTCGAGCCGCCGCGAAGTTTAGATGCGCGAACGACGCGAGCGGAAACGGCTTTTTAATCCCTTGGAACCACCCGGCGGCGTTCATCGAGCCGAGGCCGCAACAAGCGTGGGCTATGACGTCGCTTCCAGAGACTACTGACAGCGGCAGGACGATGCGAGCGTCGGACGAGCGTCAGTACGTCGTGATCGACGGCGTGAAGAAGATGTTAGCGTCCGAGGACATTGTTCTCGTGACCGAGGTGCGTCGTTCAGTCGTTCTGGAAAATGAGTACGGCATCGCGGAGATGAAAGAGCGCGTGGAGACGACGTCGTTCACGGTGGAACGGCTCGCGCCGATCGCGAGCGACGTCGACGGCGCCGAGCGCGAGAACGTCGCGGGCGCGTACAGACGCACGGGGGCGCTCGTTGTCGTTGAGGCGAAGCACTTTGACTTTCAAGTGCTCGTCAACGGTGAAGAGACGACGCCAGAGGGCACGACGCTGCGGCTGGACACGTTCGCGCTGCAGGTGGTTCGCGACGACGACATTGAAATAGAGGACGGCGACGACTTCGTATCATACTTGTCTTCGAGCGACGAGGAAGAGGCGCGCGAGACGGCGAGGACGAAGCGAAAAAAACGTTCCAGATTTCACCTCGAGCCCAGCACACCCTACAGCAAGTATCCGTCGTGCGCGCGGTGCCGCGAGGTGGAGTGGCACCACTCGAAGAAGTCGCCGGGGGAACCCCATCACGGCGCGCCCGTCGTGTTGCGCTGCGGCGACTGCGGTTTATTCTGGCACGTGCAGTGCATCGCGCCGTCCACCATCCCCGGAGACGCGCACGCGTTCGCGGCGGGGGGCGATGGATGTCCGTGGACGTGCGAGCGCTGCCGCGTCTACGCGAAGGGCGACACCCCCGCGGACGCGCTCGCGCTGTCTAACCTGTGCCCGGACAACGCGGGATGCCTCGGGTGGGAGCAACTCGCGCTCGCGACGACGCTCCTGGAGGAGTGGAACGACGACGACGCGAGACGCCCGTATGGACAATTACCCTCACGCCTCGTCGCGCGCGTGCGGTTCGAGTCCGACGCCGGCCGGAAAACGTCGGAAAAATGGGTGGCCTGGGACGTCGTCGAGAAGCTCCCCGACGCGGTGCTCGCGGGGTATCTCCGCGATGACGCGTCGCGCGCCGCGCGCGTCACCGCCGCGGTCGGGTCCGAGCGCGAGTCCGCGTCGTCGGGGATATACCCCGAGGACGAGGAGATCGCGTGGCGCGCGGACGACGGCGACGCCGGCGAGCGGAAATCGACGAAGCGCGTGTGGCGCTTTCGAAGTAACGGGCAGTACTTTGGCGTGACGCAATATTTACACGCGTTCGATGATGACGAGCTCGAGATGACGGAGAAGGCGATCACGGAGTTGATCGATCGCGAGCGCGCGTCCGGCGACGCCCCTCACGTGCACGTGGGGCTCAACGGTGGTCGAATCAAGGTTTTCTTCGGGTACCGGTACACGTACGACTCCGTGACCGCGCCGAAGCTCATCGCGGACGCGCCGCCGATACCGTCGTGGGTGCACTCCACCCTCGGCAACAGAGCGAAGATCATCGGCGCGATCGACAAAAACGTCGTGATCGACAACGCCGTCGTGAATCTGTACGCGAGATCGAAAGCGCGCCTGAGCGTGCACATGGACCCGAGCGCGTTGTTCAAGCGCCCGATCGTGTCCGCGCGATTTTTCGGCGACGGCGTCCTCTCCTTCGGCGCGAAGGGTCAGTACGAAGGCCAAAGGATACACTCAGTGCCGTTGACGCGCGGATCGATCGCGGTCATGGAGGGGTACGCCGCGAACATGGTCACGCACGCGGTGAACGAACGCGACGTCGTGGGGAGAGGCTGCAGCTTCATGCTGCGGAGTTGTCAACCTGATGCGATGGAGGACGCGGAGAGGAGGAAGAAAGGCGACGCGGAGACGGCCGAGCTCGAGAAGATCGATTCGATCATGAGAAAGATCGAGGAGGAGCGCGCGTGCGTTCAAGATGTATGATACGCGTCCAAGGATGAACGACTTACTCGTACAGGTTTTAAACTAAGTCTACAGGTACACGTACCGAAAGATCACACGAAATTTCTCGGTTGGGTGCGCCTCGCCTCGCCCCCGCGTTTTAATCGCCCTCGTCACTGCCACTCGCGTTCGGGCTCAACCCAAACGCGCCCGTGCCCGCCACCGCGCCAGGAGGGTTTTACTTGCTCTGGAGACGGAGCTCTTCCACGGAACTCCCGACGTTCGATGACATCGCGCATATGTGCTGCATGATTGCGTGTCGTGAACTCGCGGGCACAAGCGACGGATCTGTGACCCGCGTTGGGGAGAACCCGCCACCTCCGCCCGCGAGCGACCCCGGTCCTCGGGGGCACTGGGCCGCTTTGTGCGAGCTGTCCCCGCACGTCGAGCACACGTGTCTTGAGCGGCATCGCCCGCTGTACCTGCAATTACTCCGGTTCCAGTGTGCGCACGCGTTTTGCACCGAGCTGCTGATTCCTGGCGTGGGCGTCGACGAAGACGCGCCCCAAGGCGTGCTCGTTTGAGTTGACGACTGCGCGGACGCGTTCGGGGCACCAAACGGGCTCGCGCCCGGCGCGACTGCCCCCCCGAACGGCGACGGCGCGGGTGCGCCGCTGCCGCCGAAACCTCCCAGCGCGGGCGCGGGGTTCGGCGCGCCGCCGCCGAAAGGATATGGAGCCGCGCCGAACGCGCCAGGAGTGGGCGCGCCGAATGGAGACGCGCCCCCAAAAGCGGCTGCTGTTGTTCCCGTGCCAGTCGGGGCACCAAAAACCGCGGGCGCGTTCGGGGCACCGGAAGCCGCGCTGTGGCCGCCGTTTAAACCTCCTCGCCTGGGCGGTCGTTTCGCTTTCTTCGGCGGATTCCTGTCCCGGCCGTCCGACGAAGAAGCGAAACCAGCACCTACTATCATGGATCCCTCTTTGACTTTTTTTTTTTTGAAGATGCGAGCCGGAGCGCTCCCGCCGCTGCCTCCACTCGACGCGAACGGGTTCGTCCCCGCGGGCGCGGCGCCCTCATTCGCGGCCCTGCCGAAGTATTTCTCTTTATCGAGCTTTTCTGTCAACGTCACGACTTCCGCCTCCAGTGCCTCGCGGGACTCGCGCGCTCTATCGAGCTCAGACATCGACTCGTTCGACTCCGCTGTTGCCGCCGCGGATTCTTGCTCCAGAGCCTCGACCAACTGCGCGATCTCGGCGTCTTTCGCTTTGGCGAGTGCCTCCAGTGCCTCGCGGGACTCGCGCGCTTTATCGAGCTCAGACATCGACTCGTTCGACTCCGCTGTTGCCGCCGCGGATTCTTGCTCCAGGGCCTCGACCAACTGCGCGATCTCGGCGTCTTTCGCTTTGGCGAGTGCCTCCAGTGCCTCGCGGGACTCGCGCGCTTTATCGAGCTCAGACATCGACTCGTTCGACTCCGCTGTTGCCGCCGCGGATTCTTGCTCCAGGGCCTCGACCAACTGCGCGATCTCGGCGTCTTTCGCTTTGGCGAGTGCCTCCAGTGCCTCGCGGGACTCGCGCGCTTTATCGAGCTCAGACATCGACTCGTTCGACTCCGCTGTTGCCGCCGCGGATTCTTGCTCCAGGGCCTCGACCAACTGCGCGATTTCCGCGTCTTTCGCTTTGGCGAGTGCCTCCAGTGCCTCGCGGGACTCGCGCGCTTTATCGAGCTCAGACATCGACTCGTTCGACTCCGCTGTTGCCGCCGCGGATTCTTGCTCCAGGGCCTCGACCAACTGCGCGATTTCCGCGTCTTTCGCTTTGGCGAGTGCCTCCAGTGCCTCGCGGGACTCGCGCGCTTTATCGAGCTCAGACATCGACTCGTTCGACTCCGCTGTTGCCGCCGCGGATTCTTGCTCCAGGGCCTCGACCAACTGCGCGATTTCCGCGTCTTTCGCTTTGGCGAGTGCCTCCGCGGCGGTTGCCCGCTCGCCCGCCGCCCGGATCTCGACGTTGAATCTCCTGAGCATCGTGCCCATCATCTCCTTCGAAGCCTTGATCTGGTGTATGAGCTCTTTTATGTACGCGTCGCCGTGCGTCTTCTTCAGCGTCGGGCGGAACGTCATGAGCTTCTCAACCTCGCCCGTGAACGCGCCGTCGTCGACCAACAAACGCTCCGTGGGAAGTACGATGCCGACGCCCGGGGAGGCCGCGGAGACGATCTCAATCTCCTCGGCGTCCAGCTCGGCTTTCGCGTCCGCGTCAACCGCTGTCGCGACTTGCCTCGCGTTCGCGATCTCGAGTTCGCGCAACAAATTCGAGGACGCGGGCGTGGAGCTGGCGGTCGCGCCGTGGACGCCAGCCTTCTTCTTCGCCTTGGACGCCTTCAACCCCATGTCCGCCGGCGCGGGAGCGGGGCGCGGGGGAATAAAATACCAGACTGTCGTACAAGACATAAGTTTGGTGTACAAATTGTGTGTAAGTGTACACGTACGTGTACGTGTACGTGACTACGTGTGTAGATCTGACCACGTGTACACGTAACGTGGATCTACGAACGTGTACGAGTACACGTGTACTTTCGTGTGTGGATCTGATTACAAAAAGACTGAGCTCTAACCCATCCGGGTAAAACATGTGATCTAGAAGCGAGCAGACCGCACTACGAACAATCCTCTCACGTAGTAAGCAACCCCACGACGGGATTCATGAAACCCATGTGAGCCTCACGAGCGCACGGAGCCGGGGCGATGTGGAAATCGCCAGCAGTGTCGGGCTCCATAAAAAGGATTTGCGCTGCCGCGCCCGCGTGGAAGTTTTCAGAGTCACGTGAGGTTCTGAGCGCGTACGAGATGGGCGCGCCAGCGATGCGGTCTCCGATGGCGGATACGAGCGCTACGGAGATGTGGCCCATGATGCGTCGTTTCGTACGTGTAACGTGGTGTACACGTACACTACTGTACACGTGTACGTGTACTGTCGTCGATTGTAACGTGTACTGTAACGTGTACTGTGTAGATATTATTATTACACAAAAACTGAGCTCTAACTGTACGTGTAGTGTAGGGCTACGTGTACGTGTACGTGTACAGTTGACCTGCAGCAGAAGTCAGTCTTGTACGGCGTGAAAAAGACGGCACCGGCGAGCTTCTCAAACGACTTCATCCGATGCGCGCGTCGCGCGGCGCCGCGCTCGACGCGTGCGTCCTGTGCGTCCTCTCCTCTCTGCTTTACCTCAACACCCTCCACGCGGACTTCACGTACGACGATCAGTACGCGATCCTGTCCAACGCGGACGTCGTCGACGCGGCGAACTACCGCGGCGGCGACGTCACCGTTCGCGCGCACGACGCGAGCGTCCTCGCGGCGACCGCGCGCGACCGCGCGACGCGCGAATCCGCCGCGCGCGACGCCGCCGAGGGAGAAGAAACACACGCCGCGTCGGCATGCGACGCCGAAGAATCGCGCGGCACAGACGCGTCGTCCTGCGATGCCGCGGAGAAGACGACGACGACGACGACGCTCGCGGACGTCCTCGTCGGCCCCGCGTTCTGGACGCGCGATTTTTGGGGCCAAGATCTGCGCGACGCGGGCTCGCACAAATCCTGGCGCCCGCTGACCGTGCTCTCGTTTCGCGTCAACGCCGCGGTCGGCGGCGCGGAGCCGACGCCGCGTCGCGCGCTCGTCGGCGCCGAGGGCGACGCGCGCCCGGTGCCGTTCGGATTCCACCTCGGAAACGTCTCGTGTCACGCGATCGCGACGTGCCTCGCGTGCGCGCCCGCCCGCCCCGCCGCGTCGCGTCGTTCGGTTTTCCATCTCATCCGATCGCGTCCCGTGCGACTCCCCGACCCCTTCCAGCCCCGTTCGCGTGGTGAACGTACCGCGTTCGTCGGTTCCGGTCAACACGAGGACGGACGTTCTTAGGTGCGTTCTATACACTGGTTCCCATACGACCGCGTTCGCGTGGTGAACGCCGATCCTTAAGGACTTTCGCAGGCGTCTCTCTTCGCCCAGGGTCCCTCGCTTTCAATACCCGCCCTCGGCGCCTTTCAACTCCACCTGACGCCTCTCAACTCCACCCCGACGTTCGCTTGTATAGAACGGCCCTTAGTCCTCGCTGCGGCGGTCCTCGACGAGACGCGCGAGAGACTGACCGTCGAACGTCGACGCCCGCCCTCGCGACCCGCCGTCCGTCTTCAGGTACGTCGTCGCGCGGCACGTCGCCGGCGGACGCGCGTTCGCGTTCGGGGTCGGCGGGGAAGGGGGCGCCGACGGGGGCGCCGACTCGGGGGGCGCCGACTCGGGGGGTGCCAACTCGGACTCGGACTCGGACTCCGACTCGGACTCGTGCGGACGTCGGCGCGCGTTCCTCGCGGGCGCGTTTTTCGCGTCGCATCCGGCGCACGTCGAAGGTGCGCTCTCCTCGCACTGGTCCCCACACGACCGCGTTCGCGCGGTGAACGCCGTTCCTTAAGGACTTCATCTCACGCCGGCCCTTCTCGAGGACGTTTCTTTTCCCTTCTCTCGTTTCTCTTCGCACGCGACTTCCCTTTCAACAATCGGTCGATCGATCGATCGTTTGCCCGGTAAGACGTTCGACTGACCGACGCGCGAACCCGCCCGCAGCCGTCGCCGGAGCCGTCGGCCGCGCGGACCTGCTCTGCGCGATTTTCTTTCTCCTCGGGGTGTTCTCCTACGCGCGCGCGGCGGAGGCGGAGGTGCGTTGTGTGCAAACGCTTTTCATCCGCCCCTCGGTTTCAACATTTGATCGCGTCCCCTATCAACTGACCGAGGAACATATTTTGTACGGAACGACCCTCAGGTATCCTCCGCGCGCGCCGCGGAGGCGGAGACGAAAGATGTCCTCAAGGAACGGCGTTCACCGCGCGAACGAGGTCGTAAGGGACGCAATCTGCGCACCTCGCGCGTCGTAGACGGGGATGGGGTCGATGCCGGGGACGGGGACGGGGACGCCGCGCGGGCGAGGAGCCGGGGCCGCGTCTGCGCCGCGCTCGCCGCGGTTTTTCAGGCGCGTACCGCACGATACGCGTTTTTCACACGCAACTCGGTTTCAACTTTTGAACAACTCGGTTTCAACTTTTGATCGCGTCCCCTATCAACAACTGACCGATGAACATATTTTGTACGGAACGAACCTCAGCTCCTCGCGTGCCTGTGCAAAGAGTCCGGGTGCGACCGCTCGCTCGCCGCGCCACGCGATCGCGTGCGCGCGTCGGTCGCGCGTCGTTCGTTTTTCGTCTCGTCTCTCGGCTGGCCTTGTTGTCCGTCGTCGCTCTTCACCCCGCGCTCGGCTTCGACGCTCGACCCTAAAACGCCTTTCAACGCTCGACCCTAAAACGCCTTTCAACTGACCGAGCCCGAACGTCGACTCGCGATCTCGCGTCCACTCAGGATAACCGCGCTCGGGGTGTATGCCGCGTACGAGTTCCTCATCGTCTCGCCGACCCGCTCGGACGACGACGACGACGACGACGACGACGACGACGACGACGACGACGACGACGACGACGACGACGACGACGACGACGACGACGACGACGCGAAGAAGAAGAAGAAGAAGAAGAAGAAGAAGAAGAAGAAGAAGAAGAAGATGAAGACGCGCGTCGCTTCCGCGGCGTGGTGGAGACTCTTCCCGTCCGTCGCGGCGGCGTTCGCGTATCTGCGCGCGCGAGACGCTCTGTGCGGCGCGTCGTCGCTCGTGAAGATTTACCGAAAAGTCGAGAACCCGATCGCGTTCGCGTCCGACGCGACCGAGCGCCGGCTGTCGCTGTTTCACCTCCACGCGAGATACGCGTGGTTGCTCGCGTGGCCGCGACGGCTCAGGCGCGTCCGCGTTCACGCCGCCCGTCGTGCGACCGCGTTCGCGCCGTGAACGCCGTTCCTTAAGGACTCTGAGGACGGACTTTTCCCGTCGTCGTCTCTCTCCGCCCGGTCATCCCTCGATTTCGACAGTCGACCGCGACGCCCGCCTTTCAACTCATTTCAACTGACGCGCCTCGCCTTTGAACTCCGCCCCGACGTCGCTCACAGCGCGGACTGGTCGTTCCGTTGCGTCGAGCCGGTGCGCGCGGTGTCGGACCCTCGAAATGTCTTCTCCGCGTGCGTGTACGCTGTCGTCGTCGTCGCGGCGGTTCAGGCGCGTTTTAGATTGTTTTCCATACGATCCCGTTCGCGCGTTGCGCGTCGTTTTTAAGTCTACTCTAATAAGGACTTTTCCCGTCGTTCAGGCGCGGCCGTTAGAACCGTTCCGGAGACGCGGCCGTTCGAAGGTGAAGGTTCCGATTTCGATCGAAGAGAACGCCGCCGCGGTCGCGGCGACGCTCAGACGACGACGCGTTCGAGCGTTCTGGGTATCGTTCGTCGTAATTCCTTTCCTCCCCGCGTCGAACGTCTTCTTCTACGTCGGCACATACATAGGCGAGGTGCGTTTTAGACTGCTTTCCGTGCGACCCCCCTCGCGCGTTGCGCGTCGTTTCTCAAGGACTTTCTCACTTCCTACGCAGCGGTTGCTGTACGTCCCGTCCGTGGGCGCGTGCGTCCTCGCCGCGGACTTTCTCGAGGCGCTGTCTCACTCTCCCCGCGGAAGCTTCTCCGGTCGAGGAGAAAGCGGAGGAGGAGGAGGAGGAGTCCTTAAGGATCGGCGTTCACCACGCGAACGGGGTCGTATGGGAAGCAGTCTCGGAGAAAGCGGAGGCGGAGGAGATAAAGTCCTTAAGGATCGGCGTTCACCACGCGAACGGGGTCGTATGGGAAGCAGTCTCGGAGGAGGAGAAAGCGGAGGCGGAGGAGGACTCGAAAGCGAAAACAAACGAAAACGAAAAAGGCGACGACGCCTGTCGTTCGCGTCGTCCGTCGCCTCCAAGGCGCTCGCGGCGACGGCGCTCGTTCTCGCCGCCGCGAAGACGACGCGTCGGAACCTCGCGTGGAAGAACGACGCGACGCTTTTCGCCGCCGCGCGCGAGACGTGCCCGAACAGCGCGAAAACGTTGGTGAACCTCGGGATACTTGGTGAGAGAAGCGCACTGGTTCCCATACGACCCCGTCGGCGTGGTGAACGCCGATCCTTAAGGACTTTTCCCGGCGTCTCTCTCCGCCCACGCCTCGCTTTCAATACCCGCCCTCGACGCCTTTCAACTCCACCACTGACGCCTTTCAACTCCGCGTGAGGATCAGCTCGACGGGAGAAGGACTACGCGCTCGCGTTGGAGCGCTTCGACGCCGCGTCCTCGATCGAGCCTGGGTACTGCGAGCCGATGTACTACCGCGGGCTCAGGTGCGTTCTGTACAGACGTTTAACACCCACCGCTCGGTTTCAACATTTGATCGCGTCCCCTTTCAACTGACCGATGAACCTTTTTTTGTGTGGAACGATCCTCAGTCTCGTGAACATCGGCGACGCGAGCGCGGGGATCGACGCGCTGAAGCGCGCGCTCGCGTGCGCGTGGACGCGCAAGGCGCGTCCTAATTACACCGTCCCCCGTACGACCCCGGTCACGCGGTGCACGCCGTTCCTGCAGGACTTTTCCCGAGCGCGTTTCTCTCCGTCCACCCCTCGGTTTCGATCTCGACACGCCGCGACGCCTCGCGACTCCAACCGACGCCGTTCAACTCCACCCCTACGTCGCTTCCGCGTGGAACGCCCCTAAGGTGGCGATGGAAGCGATCAACGCGTTGTATCAGGTCATGTTCGACGAAGAGAAGGCGACGCTCGCGGCGGCGGCGGCGGCCGGAACCCAGGCCGCGCTCGCGTCTCCGGAGTTGCGGACGTCCTACGCCGACGCGCTCCTCATCGCAGAGGAAGACGCTCTGACGATTCGCGCGTGCGAATGGCTCGAAGACGCCGCGGCGTTGTTCGTCTCCCGCGGCGAGATCGACGCCGCGGCGTTCGCGCGGCGACGGTGCCCGCTCGCCTCCGGGGTGAGCGAGTCTTTTCTTCACACGATCCGATATGCCATGTCATCAAATCTGATCACGCGCTGACCAATCGCATCCCGCCATCCGCCGCCCCGCAGGCGAGGAGGGAAAAACGCGCCAACGCGATTCGAATCGCGAGGAACCGTCCTTCCGTGTCGGACGCGTCGTCGACGCCCGCCGACGACGGCGCGTGCGTGGACGTCCCGAACCGGCTGTTGAGAGCGTACGACGAGTTACGACGGCGCGATGACGACCGCGGGTGGGTGGGATGGGACGACGACGACGGCGGCGGCGGCGACGAGGCGGACGCGACGACGGCGGCGGCGCCGCCGCCCGCCGCGCTCGTGAACGAAGCGATCGCGTTCCTTCACAACGAGCGATGCGCGCGGCAAAACCCGGACGCGCGCGCGGCGTTGGCGCGCGTCGCTTCCGAGCGCGACCCGGACGACGCGCGAGCGCACGACGCGCGAGGAGAAGCCGCGTTAGGTGCGTCGTCGTCGTCGCCGCCGTCGTCGCCGCCGCCGCGTCTCGATATTTCGCGTCGCGCGCGTTTCTCTCTCGTCCCTCCGGCCGCATCCGCCGCCGCGCCACTCTCGCGACGCGTCTCGTCCCTCGCATCGCATCGCACAGCCTCGCGGGGCGTTTTCACTCACCGAATTGAAACGTCTGTCCCGTCCGCCCCCTCTATCCCCTATCGCGCCGTCTCTCTCTGAGCAGTCGACGGCCGGCATCGCGACGCCGCGGACGCGGTGAGACTGCTTCCCATACGACCCCATTCGCGCGATGAACGCCATTCCTTAAGGACTTTCCCCGTCCGTCGTCATTCTTCACCCGCGCTTCCCTTTCAACGTCTGACCGGTGAGACGTTCGACTGACCGACGCGTTCCCGATCGCTTCGCCCAGTTTTTCGCCGCCGCCGTCGCCGCGACCAACCTCGAGCGCGCGCCGCCGCGCGCGCGGAACGCGCGCGGGATGTCCGACGCCGCGTCCGCGAACGATCTGATCGATGTCGTGGATTGGCTCGACCGCGCGGAGGAGTTGTACGCGACGGTTCGTATTCTCGAATCGTCGCGACGGTTCGCGTCCGCGTCCGACGCGCCGTCTCGTTGCGCGCGTCTCGACCGCCTCGCGGCGGCGTTGATCCGGCTCTCCGGTGCTGACGCGGTGAGCTCCCCGGTCGCGGGGACGTCCGCGCGCGCGAGGGAGAACGCGAGATCGCGCGCGTTGGACGTCTTGGCCGAAATTAAGGTGCGCGCCGGTCCGGTGGACGATTTCGTGACCGAGTCCTCTCGCGCGTCTGTCTGTTTCCGAAACAAAATAAACTATTTTCTTTGCGCGTCTTTTCGTTCTCCCGCCGGCCGCGCGTTCGTCGTCCAGCGTTTGACAGCCGCGACTCCGCGCGTTCGTCCACCCGCAGGCGCTGGGGGAGGATAATTGTGGCGGTGGCGCGACGTCCAGAGCGAAGCGTTGGGCGCGACGGCTGGATGGTGCGGCGATAACCTTATGAAAAACCATACAACGCGAACACCCCTTAACGCGGTTGATTTTGGCGAGAGAGTTGACACGTGTCGATGTAAACGCGCATGGAAACTTGATTTCTCTACGAACACGTACCAGGAAATTAAATCCGCAGTTTAGGACACCTACGGCGGCCTCGGCGCCGCGCGGGCGTTTGCATTGTCACGTGCTCCGGTGTCGGCGACCTTTACGATGACGAGCTGCATAAATTTCATTGTTACATTGGAGCCACCGACACCTCCACACGCGCTAAGTCGCGACATTACCTCACACGGACGGGAGCTCGCCTCTTCGACCAGTCGTCGCGCCGTCGCCGAGTTTTCGCGTCGAGAGTCTTCCGCGGTCCCCCTCTCTCCCGTCGTCGCCGTCGCCGTCATCCTGTTTGCCCATACGAACCCCTCCCACCTTCTTCACCGCGCCGACCGAGCCTCCGCCCGCAAACCCGATGACCTCCACGTGCAAACCCCCGCCGCCGCGCGCTGTGCTCAGACCACCGACTTTGTGCAGATCCGTGTCCTGGCGGGAGAAAGACGAAGTACATCGCGGGCGGCGGGCGAACGCGTCGGTCAGTTGAACGTCTCAACGGTCAAACGATAGGGTCACGTTGAAAGGGTACGCGTAGCACAAGGCGAAGAGATGCAAGAGGGGGGGGAATCCATCCTTTTACGAAACGGGGTTGCGTGTGAAAGAGACGCGCCTCGAACCGAACGCGCGCGGCGGTGGTCGCCGCGGGCTCGCGAAGCGTCATCAACCCGTCTCGCGTCTCGAACGCGCGCTCGACGAACACGCCGTCCTCGTCTTTGATCCACACCGTCCGTCCAGGGAGATCGTCCGGGGCGTCCGTTCGAAGGGCCGTCACGACGACGGGGACAGGCCTTTCCGCGTCCGGCGCGTCCGGCGCATCCGGCGCGAGCGACACGTTGAACTCAATCTCGAGCGCTTTCCACCACGCGCCGACGAGCCCGCACCGACCGAAACGCACGTCCGACCCGGGACGGTTCCACCCCGTCTCCGTGATCGCGGTTCTCTCCGCGCAGCGCAGCGCGCGCCCGAGCGCAGGAGGCGCGAACGACGCCGGGTTCGTCAGATCTGAGGGTCGTTCCATACGAAGCGACGTCGGTCGGAGTTGAAAGGCGTCGCGGGGTGTCGGGCTCGAAACCGAGGTGTGGGCAGAGAGAAACGCGCGCGGGAGAAGTCCTAAAGGAACGGCGTGCACCACGCGAACGCGGTCGCTTGAGGACCAGTGTGTGGGGCGCACCTAGAATGACGAGGACGTCCCCGGCGCGAAAGTCGTCCGGCTTCGCGTACTCGCACGGGTTCCAGCACCTGTGAGCGAGTCGCGTTGGTTGCGTTTCGTTTTTAGGGCGCGGGGCGTACAGTATGCGTCGAGAGGAATTTCGAGCGGAACGACGACGTCGTACCGTGCGGGGAGTGGGCTAAACGAAACGAAACGAAACGGAACAGAACGAAACGGAACGGAACGGAACGGAACGCGCACCCGACGCCGATGCCGTCGCGATTCGAGGGGAGCAACAGCGCGCCGTCTTCGCGGCGCGTGCGCTCGTTCCTGGAGGGTATTCGCCCGTACGAAGCGACGCCGGGGCGGAGTTCAGGGGCGCGTCAGTCGAAGTCGCGAGGCGTCGCGGCGGGCGCGTCAGGATCGAAGCCGAGGATTGGGCGGAGCGAAACGCGCGCGGGCAGCGAAGAACGTCCTCGATAAACGTCGCGCGCCGCGCGAGCATCGAACGCGGTCGCGCGGGGAACGGCAAAGTCCTCAAGGAATGGCGCGCGCCGCGCGGACGGGGTCGTATGGGAACCGGCGCGACGAGGACACGCGCCTGACGCGCGCGACCGCGCCGCGGCCGTCTTTCACGGTCCAGGGAAGCGGCGGCGCCGTCGCCGGCGCGGTCGTCGCGTCGTCGTCGTCGTTATCTCCCGTCGTTCGCGAGGAAAGAGCCCAACCGCACGCGTCGTCCGGTCCGCGGCACGCGTTCACGAGTCTCTCGACGCGCGACGTCGAAAACGCGAAATATTTTCCTTCGGGCGTCGTCCCCGGCTCGGCGTAGAGCGCTCGAACGACGAGCGTCCCGCCGAGGACGTCGTCGTCGTCGTCGTCGTCGTCGTTCATGTTCAGGTTCAGGTTCGCGATGCCGTCGTTCCACGGCGGCGGCGCGGGAGCGGGCGGCGACGCCTCGGGCGCGGGCGCGGGCGCGGGCGCGGGCGCGGGCGCTTGCGGCGACGCCTCGACGGGCGCGGTCTCCACGGGAACGCCGCCGTTCTTCGAGCGCACGAAGTCCTCCACGAACGCTCGCACCGCGAGGTTCGGTGCGAGCTGCGCGAGTGTCAGCCGATGCGCGCGATCGAGCGGGTCCGTGCCGTGCTCGGCGATCCACCGCGAGATCGCGCCGCGGTCGTACGTCCGACCGCTGCTCGTGACGAGCGCGGGCTCGGTCATGAGGCACTGCGTGATGGGACAGACGAGAGCGTCCGGAGCGTTCGCGTCCGCGGCGATCGCGGGGGGGATGATGAGCGGCGCGGGCCATCGAGCGGGGGCGTCGTGCGTAGGCATCGGCGCCGGGAGCGACAGCGGGAGCGTCCGCGGAGGCGCGGGCGGAGGACGCGCGCGACCGAGCTCGCCGCGAGGATTCGACGCCGACGGTCCGCGGGCCTCGGCGCGGAGGACGCCTCGCACGGGGGGGGTGGGGTTCGCGTCCGCGTCCGCGTCCGCGCCGGTCGCGGCGCTTCTCGAGCTCGGCGTGTCCTCGCGCGCGCGACTCGAGCTCGCGCCCATGGAAGTGCACGGGCGGGTGGCACGCAGAGCGGGAGACGCAAGACGGGTCGGTTCCTCTTCGAGATATGACTATGATACACGTACGAGTACTCGTATCATCAATTACAGTGAACAACGTGTACATGTACAGCTGTACGAGTACGAAGATAAATACAAACACATTTGCGGTGTGTACAACTAGTACGAAGGTAGATCTGTATCGCGGTGTACGTGACGAGTCGTGTACGTGTACGTGTACGTGTACACGTACTGTAGTCCAAAAATCAGATACACTGTAGCCAATTGATGACTGAGCTTCAGTATCATATTATCAACAACTGTACGTGTAGGCTACTGTACGGCACAGTACGAGTACCATTGTGTAGTTGTACACGTCTGCACGTTCGTAAACATGCGCAACGATATGAAAGTTCGAAAGTACTACAGTTGTCCACTACACGTAGCCCTACGTGTACACGTACACGTATGTGCAGTCTTACGCTTACGAATATCTTATCTTACAAATGTTTGCTTACGTGGCATCGTTTCGCGAGCGGTCACACCTCGGACGCGCGCCCGCTGCTGCCACGAACGACGAGGCGGCAAGGTGAACGCGCGAGAAGTGCGTGGGCGGATCGACCACGGAAAGCCGAGCTCTCGCCGCCGCGAGCACGATGCCTCCGCCACCCGCGCCCTCGCCTACGGAGCCATCGTGGAAGAAGAAGGAAATCATGTTTTGGTCGGCGGTGATCCGCGCCGCGGACGAAAGCGCGAAAAACGGTCCGAGTCGCGGGGATTCGCCGCGCGGCTAGAACAGAAATGGCGCTTCACCATAAGGTTATCGTACGACGACGACGACGAGAACGATAAATACTTTGTCACATCTATCTTGACTACCTCCTCCCCGCGCTTCACTACGGCGCCCTTTCGGCCAAATATAAACCTAGCAGGGCAGGGCAAGTCCGGATAGACTGTACGTGTACACGGTAAGTTGTATATACAAGTATTTTTGTACGAAAACGACCGCACAGCGCATTCAGTCCGGATTTTCGATGGGACGTACTCGGGTAACACTTAAAATCTGGCAGCGCTTTTAGTCAGGAAGTGACGTATCGTACTCGACGAAATCCGAAAGTTGATAGTATTGGACAGTATTACAGTATCATACTGTACGTGTACACACTTCCGGAAGTACGAAAAGACCTGAATCAGATACGAAGGTACTGTACGTGTACCTTCGAAGGTACTGTCGCTACAGTACCCGGCCGCGCGGGAGGGAGGGTCGCGCGACGACAGGACGGATGCAACACTCCATCTAGTGTTGCGTGTAGTGTACCTTCGTACACGTTTTTTATGAAGGAAGGTAGTAGGCCAAACATGTACACGTGTATCACTCGTGTATCTGATTTATTACCTTCGAGGGTATTACCTTCGAAGGTACGAAAGTACTTTCGTACTTTCGTACTTTCGTATCATACTTCCAAGTACGAAAGTACCTTCGAAGGTATCTACGAGCTATCTACCGTAGCAAGACTACACGTAGCTAGACTAGCTAGCTACGAAAGTACGAAAGTACCTTCGAAGGTACTTTCGTACTTTGTAGCTAGCTACTAGCTAGAGTACGAAAGTACCGGACTAGCTAGAGACTACCTTCGTACAGTATTCGTAGCCCTACTCACTGTACAACGTTTTACACGTTTATTAGTGTAACGTGTACGAAGGTACCTTCGTACTTTGAAAGTACACATGAACTTCCGGAAGTACTTGTACGTGTACTTTCGTACTTCCGGAAGTTCACTATCATATCCAATGTGTACTGTACTACGCCCTTTAAGCCCTGAATTAGCGTGAATTGACGGAGCTTAAAGGGTGACCAAAAAGTCATACGGAACGTCGCGATAGACGACGGCGAGATGCGACGCCGGAAGCGACGTGCGCGACGCGCGCGGGTCTTCGACGTGTGTGACGAAACGATTGCACCGGAGAACGACCGACGTGTCGACCTCCCCCCGGCACGACCACCGGTCGCCGTCACTACGTCCAAGAGGGATAAAAAAAGCATCGTATGAACAAATATTCATGAATACGAGTACTTTTCGTTCTGAGCGAGGGAACAACGCGCGCGTCTGGATGAAACGGTCACGTAAAATGCGTTACGTCGTATTTCAAGGACACAGCGTGTCACATTCGCTCTACTCTCTTGCTCACTCATGTCGCGCTCGCTTGTATGGACCAACACCATGCCGAACTTCACGAAATGCTTGCGTGACCGCGTTTTCGCCATTCTTCGCACCGGGCTATACCGTGCTCGCACACCTGAGACCCGTCAAACTCCTCAAAGTTGTGTTTCCGGCGCCCGTGCTCGCAAACTCACTTCCCGCCCTTGGAGTAATGCCCGGTGCCGCCGGGGTCGCTGTAGTACGTGGAACCTGCGGAGGAAAGGGGAGAGCAATGTGAACAACAGAGATCTTGAAAAAGTCTCAAGTGAAAAAAATATCACAAGTGCGCAAACGTCGACGCGGAGGCGGATGGACGCGCGCGAGATGCGAGCGCGCACCGTTGTCGTTTCGATAGTAGAACGACCCGTCCGTGTTCGAGTATTTGTATGACTGCCCGGTGTTCGAGTTCGTCCCGCCGGGGGTGCTGTACGAGTTGCCCTGCGGGAGAGAAGGCGAGATCTGACTTAAAATCTGACGTGGAGCGCGGAAACCTCGCGCGCCCGCGGGATAGTCGCGCGTGAAAGCTGGGCGCACCTGAGCATTTGTCGGCATGATGACGATACGGATGGATGTAACGGGTAGAACAAGAGGTGGAGGAATCAAAGTCGGTAATTAAAGGGTTGAACCGTTCGGATTCGATTACTTGTGGACTTTACTTGTTGGACACCTTTGTTGGACTTCTGGCCGCTTGCGTACACGTAGCCCTACAGTACAGTAGACTTTAGTTGTTTTACAATACGTGTACTGTACTCGTAGTCGTGTACACCGAGCTCGAATCGTCGCGAGTCACCTCGACGTCTGTTCGCCGCTCGCCACAGTACACGTACGTGTACAGTAGGGCTACCTGTGTGTGCTGTTACAGGGTACCTGTAGATTTGTGGAGGTTGTAAATCTGGGAACACACTATCTGGGCGTTGTTGTTCGTTTCGTTCGCTCCGAGACGCCGCGCGCGCACTTCCCCGCGCGCGCCGGCGGGCATGGAGACGGCGCCGCCGCCTCCCGCGGCGTCCAAACTCACCCTCAACGACGTCGTCGGGTATCCCCGGCCGGGATACGACGTCCCCGAGCTGTACGCGTTCTCCCCCGACGATGGTCTAGTCACGTCGTTGTGTGCGCCGGAGCGAGGAACGTCGTCCAGGAATCTCTACGCGTTCGACACCGCGACAGGTGCGTTCTATCTCACACTGGTCCCCATACGACCCCGTCGGCGTGGTGAACGCCGTTTCTTAAGGACTTTGTCCGGCGCATCTCTCCGCCCACCCCTCGCGACAGGGACGACGAAACTGCTGTGCACGCCGCCGCCGACGCGTTTACACTTCGAAGGCGACGATGAGAGCGGGTACTCCGCCCCGGAGGCGATGCAGCGCGAGCGCGCGAGGGAGACGGGGAAAGGGCTGACGAGCTACGAGTGGGCGTCCAGTTCCCATCGCGCGGACCACCGCGCGTCGCCATCGTCGTCGACCTCCTCCTCCTCCTCCTCGCACGCGCGGTCGTCGATAATGCGGTTGCTCATCTCACAGACGTACGGGGCGTACGTCCAGGACGTATTCAACGGCAGCGGCGTCCAAGGCGGCGACCTGCGTTTGGTCGCGCGTTCGGCCGAAGGCTCGCCCGTGCTCGACGCGAAGATCTCCCCGGACGGTGCGCGCGAAGAGACGCCCGCGCCGCCGCGGCCGCTCGCGTCCGCGCCGCTCGTACCCTAACTCTAAACCACGAACCCTCCCTACTCATTCGCGCGACGCGACGCGCGCGAAACGAAACCACCCTCTCGCAGGCAAGTGGGTCGCGTTTGTGCGCGATGACGAGATCCGCGTCGCGTCGTGCGACGCCAACTCGTGGTGTTTCCCCGGGACGTCGCTTCACATCGCCGGCCTCGGTGCGTCCGCAGTCCGCTTCCCGCGCGACCCCGTTCGGGTGTTGTGTCGCGCGACGTCCGTTTCTCGATGCCTTTTCGACGAGTCGATGGGTCGCGGATCCCTTCCTCGGGCGCAAATTGATCATCACGTTTCTTGACGACGTTTCCTGTCGTCGCTTCGCTATTCGCCAGGCACCGCGCCACCGAGCGCGCGAGTGACGTACGGCGCGCATAACAACCCTTCCGTGACGCACGGACTCGCGGAGTACATCGCTGCCGAGGAGATGCGCCGAGATCGCGGGTTTTGGTGGCGCCGCGACGGCGGCGCCCTCGCCTTTTGCCGCGTCGACGTCTCCGCGATTCCGACGGTGAGAATTCCGTGCACGTTGGGAGCGCAGCGCGCGGGGACGCGCATCGTGGAAGAGCACGCGTACCCGTTCACGGGGGGATGCAACGCGTACGTGAGGTTAGGCGTCGTCGACGTGTCGAAGATCACGGGCGCGGGGACGACGGACCACCGCCGCGACCGCGGGAGTCCTCGCGACGATGGCGGCGACGGGAGACCTTTTTCGGGGGATCCCGACGACGATCCGACCGCGCACGACGTGACGTGGATGGATGTCAATTGCGGCCCGGCGAGCTTGGGCGGCGCGGGCCTGGAGGAGGAGTACCTCGCCGCGGTGGACTGGTCCCCGAGAGGGGACTTCTTGATCGCGCAGATACAGAGCCGGGATCAGAAGACGATGAAAGTCGTGCGGTTGGATCCGACGACGGGCGAGCGCGCGACGAACCCGCGCGACGGCGGGACGTGTCTGCACGTTGAGCGGAACGACGCGTCGTGGGTCTCGATCCACAACATGCTGTACGTCCTGAGCGGTAAATCGAGGAGGAGTACGAGTACGAGTACGAGTACTCGCGCACGCGCGCGCGACTGGGACTTCATGGAGGCTCCACGCGACGCCGTCTCCGGCGCGCGCTACGGCGACTTCATCTGGGCGTCCGAGAAGACCGGGTACATGCACCTGTACTACCACGACGGCGTCGACGGCGAGTGCGCGCACGCGATCACCGGCGGGGAGTGGTGCGTAGACGAACTCATCGGCGTGGACGAAGGCCGCGGGTTCGTGTACTTCACCGCGTCGAAGCTCGGGCCGCTGGAGAGGCACCTGTACCGCGCGCGTTTGTTTCCGACCCTGGACGCTTCGTGCGCTTCCGCTTCTACCACCACGTCTGACGCCGCCACGTCGCGCCCGCGCGTGCCGCGGTGCCGGCGTCTGACGCGCGAGAGAGGCTACCACTCCGTCGCGATGGACCACGCGGGAAAGCGGTTTTTGGACGTTTACGACAGCGTGAACAACGCCCCGAACGCGATGTTGCGTATGCTGCCGACGGATGACGACGACGACGTGTGTAACGGCAGCAGCGGCGGCGTTACCGACGACGGCGACGACGACGACGACGCGTTTCCGGACGACTTCGACGCGACCGCGCTCGCGCTGCATCGCGACATCTCCGCGACGGTGGCGGCGCAGGGTCGAAATCTGATCCCCCCGTCGCTCGTGACGGTTGCCGCCGCCGACGGATCGACGACGCTCCACGGCGCGCTCTACCTCCCGGACGAGGACCCGGAGTTGGCGTCGGCGCGCAACGCTTTGCGTCCCGGAATCGTCATCGTCTACGGCGGACCTCAAGCGCAAGAGGTGCAAAACACGTGGCGTCTCACGTCCGACGTGCGCGCGCAGTTTTATCGACAACTCGGGTACGTCGTGTTTAAGCTCGACAACCGAGGGAGCTCGCGTCGAGGGCACGCGTTCGAGGCGGCGTTGAAGAACGCGTTCGGCGACGTCGACGTGAACGATCAGATCGAAGGCGTGAGGTGGCTCGTGAATCACGCGCGCGTGGATCCGGACCGAGTGGGCGTCATCGGATGGTCGTACGGAGGATTCGTCGCCGCGACGTGCGTATTGAAAGCTCCGGGGACGTTCGCCGCCGCGTGCGCGGGCGCGCCGGTGACGCGTTGGGAGCTGTACGACACGCACTACACCGAGCGATTCTTGGGTGCGCCGAACAAGAGGCGAGACGGTGCCGCCGCCGATGACGACGCGGACGCGGATACCGTGGATACCGCGAGCGTGGGTACCGCGAGCGCCGCCGGCGCCGAAGACGACCCCTACGCGCGCGCAAGCGTCCTGTCGCACGTCGACGGGTTCGCGCGCGGAAAACTTCTCATCGTGCACGGGATGCTCGACGAGAATGTGCACTTCTCGCACTCCACGGCGCTCGAGGACGCGATAAAGGCGGCATCGGCGCGGAGGACGCGCGAGCTCGGAGAGGACGCCGGGACGAGCGGCGAGCTCACGTTGCTTCCTTTTCCCACGGAGCGGCACGTGATGCGCAGGACGCACAATAGGAAAACGGTCGAGTCCGCGATGTTTCGGTTTTTTCAGGACGCGCTGATGGGCGAGGGCGGCGGGTGGAGCGATGGCGAGAGCTTCCACGATTGGGATTAGGCGCGAGGCGCGAGGTTACGGAGGGTACGTAAGGAGTAGAAGTACGCACGTAGAGACGCACCGCACCGTTTGTGCGAAAGAAACGATGACGAGCGAATGACTGAAAGCGTTTGCCGCGTTGAGTGACCCCGGTTTCGTGACATTTTTTTCGCGAGGCTGAGTTGCCCGTTTTGGGTCTCGGCGACCCCAGCAGTCAAGCGCGCGCATGGGGATCATCGCGAAAATCCGACTTTAATAAGGTGTTGTAGGTAGTACGAAGGTACTTTACACGGTTGTGTGCATGTAAATACTCCTAGAAGCTAAATGGGCGTCCTACTCCGCCGCGCCGTCTTCCGCCTTGAAGAACCCGGACAAGCGGAACTTCTCCGTGGGGTCGTCGCTCCCGGAGCTCCCACTGTCGCTGTCGCTGTCGTCGTCGCTGTCGCTGTCGCGCTTCCGCTTCTTCTTTCCGCTCTTCTTCCCGTGCTTCTTCTCTTTCGCCTTTTTCGATCCCTTCTTCGATCCCTTCGACTTTTTCGCATCCTTCCTGCCGCCGCCGCGCTTCTTCTTCTTGGCGACCCCCCCTCCGCGGACGCGCGCGAGCCGCTTCTCGCGATCCGCCTCGAGCTGCGCGCGAAATGCCCGCGTCTCCTCGTCCGTCTTCTCCGCCGCGGCCGCGAGTTTCCCCTCGCGCTCCTTCTCTCGTCGTTGAAATTCCTCGTACGTCGGGCGCGTCGCCGTGAGCGACTGCAGGTAGTGCGCCTGCCACGCCGGGGAGTGGAACGACGCGTCCGAGGGGTCGCGCTGCCGCGGGGCGCCCGTGTCGGGGTCGATCGACGCGTACCCCTCCGCCATCACGCGGGAGGTCTCGCCGTCGACGACGCGCGAGCGAGCGAGCGAGCGACGACGCGACGCGGGCGGGGGCGATCACGTCCGTACGTGTTTGGTTCGCGGGTATAGAATACCTCGTACGAAAGTACCTGAAGGTACGAAAGTACTTTCGTACGAAAGTACTTTCGTACTTTGTACTATCGACGTTGTACGTGTACAACGCGTTATTAACGTTGTACGTGTACTGTACGTGTACCTTCGTACAGACGACTAGCCCTACGGTCCTACGAAAGTACGAAAGTACTTCAAGACACACTACCGGCTACGCGCAATTGGTCTGGCACGGTGCGCGCACAGTACCTCATCACGCGGGCTCCGAGACGCGTCACTTGCGCCCCTTCTTTCCTTTCTTCTTGCTCCCGGTCGTCGAGCCCCCCCCGGTCGCCGCCGCCGCGGCCGCCCCCGCCTGCCCCGCCTGCGACGTGAACTGCGTCAATATCTCCCCGGGCGTCGGCATCCGCGCGACGCGCTCCTTGTGCGCGCTCGTCCCCGGCGTGCGCGCGGGATGCTTCGGAATCATCCGCGCCACCTCCGTCAACAGCGCCCCGCGCGTCGAGATCTCCCTCGCGAGCGGCATCCCGTCGTCCTTCTTGAGCGTCACGCGCACGCGCCCGCGCTGCCACGTGTCCCGCGAGTGATGCTTGTCCTCGATCTCGCACGGCAGCTTCAGGTGCTTCTCGATGACGTCGCGAATCTCGAGGACGTGCGGCGCGTCGCAGCACGCGGACCGCGCGAGCTTCCGCCCGTCCGCGACCGACGCGTTCGCGTTGAGGTACACGGGGTAGATGATCACGCGCGAATCGTGCGCGTGGTCGCGCGACGCGGGGGCGATTTCCGTCGCGGCGGACATCGGATCGTGCGGCGCGGCGCGGCGCGGCGCGAGCGGGGGTCTTCGGCCGCCGCGCGGGTGGTCTGGCGCTCTCTCTCGTCGGTCCCCGGGTCGGTCCCTGCACGTGTATCTTATAGTTGTAGTGTACACTCCGGAAATACTTTCGTACTTTGAGTACCTTCGAAAGATACGTGTAGTACACGTAGATATGCTACGAGTAGATACCGTACGTACACGTACACGTATACTTCCGGAAGTACTTTCGTACAACGTACACGTGCGTACTTTCGTACGAAGGTACTTTCGTACTTCCGTACGAAGGCAACTTACTTAGGTACGAAGGTACCTTCGAAGGTACTTCACACAACAGGTTTTAGTAAGAAACTAGACTAGACTACTCGCTCCCGAGAAGCGCCCAACCAACCTTCCTACGCTACACGCGGTCGCTCGCGTCCGCGAACTCTCGCGCGCACTCCCACGCCAGGAACATCACCGCCGTCGTCGGAAACTGGTGACGGTGAACGGATGGACGCGAAAAAGTACGCGCAGCGTTCGCGGGACGGTCAGTCGAACGGCAGGCCCGCGTCGCGGCAGTCGCGCGGAGAAAAGACCGAGGGAAGACGCGGGGCGGGCGGGCAGGGAAAGGAGAAGAGAGAAACGATGCGACGAGACGACGCGACGCGAACGAACGCCGCGCGCGCGCACCGCTCGAGCAAGCACCGGAGTCGAGCCGCGCCAAAGTCCCGCGACGCCCCCCGCCTTGAACGCTCTTCCGATCAGCCGAAACACCGAGACGTCGTCTTTCGACCCGACGCGCGCGACTTGAAACCTGGGAGGAAAGTCCTTAAGAAACGACGCGCGACGCGCGAATGGGGTCGCATGGAAAGTAGTCTCACCTTGTCTTCGCGCCGTCAATCGGCAGAACCGCGAGCCAAAACGCCGACCCCGCGACGCCGCCGCACGCGATCGCCGCGAGGGCTTCCTGGACGCGATACGCCGCCGCCGCGCCGCCGCCACTGCCGCCGTCGCCGGCGGCGGCGACGGTCGATGATGCATCTTCCCGGCGGGCGGGCTTCCGCGTCCACCTCGGGAACGCACTCTGCGCCAGCTCGTAGGTCGCGAAGAACAGCGCGTTCCCAGGAATTTCGCGAAGCATCGTCGCGAACGTCCCTCGAAACAACCCGCGGATGCCGTCGCGTTCGTACGCTGCGACGCGATCGATCGACGTCGGTCGGGTCAGTTTCACATCGATCCGATCGAGGGGGCTCGACCGATGAGAGTAGGTTCGACGACGCGAGGTGTGTGCGGTGAAAAGATATGTACAGAGGCGCCCACCAGCTGCGACGGCTTCTCTCGCGCTCGCGAATTGTCCATCCTGGACTTGGCACTTGATCAGATCCGTCGGGGCGACGACGAGAGAGAGGACGGCCCCGCCGACGGCGCCGGAGATGGCGACGTCCGCGATGGCCGCCGCCGCCGCCGCCGCGCCGCTGCTCGTCGGGGGGTCAGCCGACGCGCGCTCGTCCATCGCGATTCGGCGGTGCGTCAGCCACTGTCGCGTCTGCGACACGACCCCGTAGTTTAAGCCGCCCTCGAGCGAGTACCCGAGGAGAGGCGCGGAGAGGCCCTTATACAGCGCGCGGATCCCCCCGCCCGGGCCAGGGGCGGACGCGATCGCGCGCGCGGTCGCAAGCGCGGACGGCGCGGACGCCCCCGTGTGCGGCGCGGTCTGCATCGCGACTTTGACCGTGTCGAACGGATGCGCGGAAAGCGTGTAGAAGAAACCGGCGACGACGCCGCACGCGAAATCGACGCTCGCCGCGCGCGACGACGACGACGGCGCGTCGGCGTCGCCCCGCCGCGGCGGCGGCGGCGGCTGCGGAGGTGGAGAATCACGCGTCGCGCGCATCGCGCGGGCGTCAGCGGTGCGTCATCGGGGCGGGGGAGGGGCGACGCGACGGAAGCGCGCGACGGGGAGTGCACGGCGGGGCCGCCCGCGTCGTAGCGAACCACTTCTCGTCATCGTCAGGCAACTTGTCAGGTACAGTACTGTACGTGTACACGTACAGTAAGTTGCTTTATTGTACTGTACAACGCGCGTTACGTGTCCGAGCAAGTACGAAAGTACTGTACACGTACGTGTACGTTGTACGCGAAGGTACGGAAGTACTTTCGTACAAAGTACGAAAGTACTTTCGTACGTACGAAAGTACGAAAGTACGAAAGTACGAAAGTATGATACTGTACGTGTACAGTACACGTAGTACACAATGGCTATGATATGATAGTGAACTTCCGGAAGTACTTCTCGAAAGTACAACTACTGTACTGTACACGTACGTGTACTTTCGTACGAAAGTATCATACTTCCGGAAGTACAGTAGTACTTGTACACGTACAACTACAGTACTTTCAAAGTACGAAAGTACTTTCGAAGTACAGTACCTTCGTACTTTCGTACGAAGGTATTATGAAAGTACGAAAGTACACGACTACTACAACGTAGGGCTACACGTAGTATAAAAACGTTGTACAGTGAGTAGGGCTACGAATACTGTACGAAGGTAGTCTCTACTCTCTAGTAGCTAGTCCGGTACTCTAGTAGCTAGCTACCTTCGAAGGTACTTTCGAAAGTAGCTATCTACTATCTAGAGTCTAGCTAGTCTAGCTACAAGCTACGGTAGATAGCTAGATACCTTCGAAGATAGATACTTTCGTACTTTCGTACTTCCCTTCGAAGGTACTTTCGTACTTTCGAAAGTAAGTTTTACTTTCGTACTTTCGTACTTTACTAAAGTACGTTGTACGTTGTACTTTCGTACGATTGTACTTTCGTACCTTCGGAAGGTAACAACTTACTTGGAAGTACAACGTTGTACACGTACGTGTACACGTGTACGAAAGATAGATTTACCTTCGAAGGTAATAATAAATCAGATACACGAGTGATACACGTATAAAATGTAGGGCCTACTACCTTCCTTCATATAAAACGTGTACCTTCGAAGGTACCTTCGGTACGAAGGTACAGTACAGTAGACTTTTTAGTTGTTTTACGTGTACGAAAGTACTACGCAGACCAGAATGCGGTTTTTCACCCGCATGTATCGACAGGTCTGTCGATATACCCGATCAAAGCGATCGGGGATTTTCCGATCAAATATTTTGAAAGGGTATTTTCATCATCGCAATAGCCGATCAAAAGCTTAACGCGGGTGAAAAACCGCATTCTGGTCTGCGACGTACAGGTACTCGTAGTCGTGTACAGAAGCAAGAGGGGACCGAGGTCTCGTGACCGATCGCGGCATACCACGCGCGCGGCACACACGAACGCGCATCGCATCCCCGTGCGCGCTCGAGCTCGAATCGTCGCGAGTCACCTCGACGTCTGTTCGCCGCTCGCCGCGCCAAGCGTTCGCGCGCGTCGCGGGCGCGTCGCGGAGCGCGCGCGCGTTTCGAGATCCGCGTCGCGAGACTTCGCTTTCGATCGATCGATCCGAATGGCGACGAAGGTGGGCTCGCCGGAGAATCAAGTCGCGTCCGGGCTCGCGCCACGTACCGCGCTCGGCGCGCACGACGCGAACGTCGCGGCGCCCGTCGCGCTCGCGCCGCTCTCGATCAAGAAGGCGAGACGGTGCGCTCCGACGCGACGTCGTTCCCTCGCGCGACAACCGCGTTCGTCGGTTTTTCGTCGCGTCCTCACGTCTCCGCCTCCCCTTCGCTACCCCGGTCGCGCTCGCAGCTTCAGCAGCCCGACGGACAGCGTCATGTCCCCGGCGTCGAAGTTCGTCAGCCAGAAGCAGAAGAAGGGGCAGAAGATCCGCGCCGGGTGCGAACAATCGAACCGAGATTCGACAGCTGTCTGACGCCGCACAGCTGTTCGTTTCGGACACGCGAGACGAACCGTTCCGCCAAACACCGGGGAGCGCCCGCTCGCTCGCGAATCGCGTCCTCCCGCTCCGACATCACACTAACCGAGCCGTACGTCTCAAACCGCGTCAACGCGTCCATAGGTTTAACCCGTCGCAGCTGGAGGGTAACTTCCGCGCGCTCGCGCTCGGGAAGAAGGACCGAGGCGCGAACGCCACGGGACTCGGCGCTGCGCCGCCCGCGGCCGCGAAGTCTCGGTTCGCCGCGCCGCGTGAAGGCGGGAAGTCGCCAGCGTCGTCTCCGGCGTGGAGATGAGCGCGCCGTGCGCGCGGTGACACGGCGAGGAGGGTGGGGGGCAACGCAGCGATGCGCCGCGGCCGACGAGGGTGTTTTCTTCTATCCTACGAGTATCTGATCTTATACAGGTATCGATAGACCAGTTGCGCCTCGTAACTCGATCAGACAAAAAAACCATACAGTAGAGTACGAGCGAGTACGCAAAATTTCGTATGGAATCTTAGTTTGATACAGCATTTTCACCTCTAGCGCGTAGCGCGGGTCAGTTCTACGGTCCCGATTTTTTTTATTATTAATTTCTTGTATGAGCGTCAGTCAGACACGCTCCCCTCACTTTCCGCGCTTCTCCGTGCGCCGTCGGCGGGTACACGTACAGTACTGTACGTGCACGATTTTAGACACCAGATCCATGCATTTGCGCGCGTCTTGGACGTGCACACGTACTCGTGTACTGTACACGCACGTACGTGTAGGAACTTGGTCACACACGCACATTCGGGGGCGCCGCGCGCGCGTCGCGCCTTCCCCCGACCGCCGCGCAGGAGTCGCGCGAACCCGAGCGTCGTCTTCGCCCACGTCCTCGCGCGCGCACGCGCGCGCGCCACCCCTCCCCACTCGAGGTGAGTCCCGATGGTCGTCCTCAACCTCGCCGCGGTGAACGACCGACGCAACGACGACCGGGAACTCGAGCACTACGACGGCGCGCGACGACCGCGGACGAACGTCTCGCGCGACGCGAGGACCGCGCGCGCGGCGCGACGCGTCCTCCGCGTCCGTGGCATCGACGAGATCGTCCTCCCGCGCCCGCGAGCGCTGTGGTGCAAGCTGCGATGCGTCGTGTCCTACGTGGTGAAACTTCAACGCCTGCGCGACGGCGTGAACGAACGCGTCCCGGCCATCACGAACGCGACGAGGGTCATCACCGAAGCGCGCGTGCGCGCGATATCGTACGCGAGCGAACTCGAAGGCGAGGGCGCGCGCGCGTCGTCGTCGTCGTCGTCGTCGTCGTCGTCGTCGTCGTCGTCGTCGTCGTCGTCGTCGTCGTCGTCGCCGTCGTCGTCGTCGTCGTCGTCGTCGTCGTCGTCGTCGCCTCGCGCGTCCCTCGCGAGCGTCGGAGAGAAAGCCGACGACGCGGACGGCGGCGGCGGCGGACGGAAGACGCGGCTCGATTCGTCCGCGACGCTCCCCCCCGGGCGTTTCTCGCTGCGCTCCCACGCGGGTCCGACGCCGGTGTTCGCGACGAAGAGCGTCTCGAACGCGCTGCTCCGATCGCGGTCGCTCGGTCTCGGCGGCGGCGGTCGCCCGGGCGTTGACGCGTGGTCGTCGTCCGACGGCGAAACGTCCGACGAGAGCAGGGAATGGAGCGAATCGTCCTCCGACGCGGGGGACGACGAAGAGACGCGGCGGATGAAAGTCGCGATGCGTCGCGCGGTGCGCGAGCGGAGACGGGGACGATCGTCTCTTCGATCGCCCGGGGTGTCCGTCGCGCTGTGGGGGGACGATCATCTCAGCGCGCCGAGGATATCGAAGAGCGGCGGCGACGGACGCGCTTCGAGCAGCCGCGGGAGCGACGGCGACGCTCCCGCGGGAAGACGGAGAGCGCGCCGGACGGGGCCGACGACGCGAGAGAAGATGTTCGCGACGCTGAACGATCCGGACTACAGCTCGCTGGCGAAGTACATCTCGTTGACTATTCTCGCGCTGATCGTGACGTCCACGACGACGTTCATAATGGACACGATTCGAGAGTTTGAAAACAACGCCGCGATCGCGGGCGTGGAGTACTTTTGCATCGCCGCGTTTACCCTCGAGTACGTCGGCAAGCTCGCGACCGTCCCCAGGGAGCACAGAGCGGAGTGGCTGAATGGAAAGATGAACATGATCGACCTCGCGGCGATCTTGCCGTTCTACATCGAGCTCATCGTCGTCGCAGCGACGTCGAGCGAGGAGTCCGGCGCGCCGAGCGGGTTGCTTAGATTGTTCCGCCTGTTTCGCGTGTTTCGAGTCTTGAAACTCGGAGCGAAGATGCGAAAGCTCGAAGTCGTCGCCGCCGCGGTCGCGGATTCGATCGACCTCCTCTTGATGCTCATCTTCATCCTCGTCTTGACCTTGGTGCTCTTTTCCACGCTCTTGTACTTTTGCGAGGACGGCGCATGGGAAGCGTCGGACGCGTTAGACGCGTACGCGGGCGATCCATTCGCGTCTATCCCGCGTTGTTTCTGGTGGTGCACGGTCACGCTCATGACCGTGGGATACGGCGACGCGTATCCGATCACCGGGTGGGGCAAAGTCGTCGCAGCCGCGACGATGGTCGTCTCCGTCGTCATCACCGCGTTGCCGATATCTGTTGTCGGCGCGAATTTCACGCAGCAGTGGCTGCTGTACCGCGAGCGCGAGGCAACGAAGACGCGCGCGAGTGCCATGATGTCGAACTTCCAAAAGCTCTCCGACGCGATTCGCGTGCACGATTACGTCTTGGACGAGGTCCTCGCCGCCGTGGAGGAGATGGAGATTCTCATCGAGCAAGACCTCGCGTCTATGAAACGGTTATTCAACACGGCCACGACCACGGACGTCACGAGCGGAAACGCTCGCGCGCGTCGCGTCGCGAAGAACGCGCGTCGGGCGACGTTGGTCGCGTTCGACGCGAAGTTTGCGCGAACGCAAGACGCGCGCGAAGAGCTCGACCAGCTGTTGTCATTCGCGGACCTTCTCGGCACGCCCGGCTTTCTCTCACAGCTCGACCTGGTGACCTCGAAAAACGATCGGTTATCCTGCGTGATGGACGCGGTGGAGGACATATTCACCGAGGTAGACGCGCTCATCGTGCGCGTGAACGAGGTCAACGAGAGCGGGACACGGGTACTCGACGGCGCAGCTTCCGCGCGGCGGTTGGAGGATGGAGTGTCGCCGACGCCGGGAGGGAACCCGGGGGGGAGCGCGTCGGAGCGGACTTCAACTTCGCTCGCCGACGACGGCGCCGGCGCCGCGCGCGACTTGGAAGAAGCGCTGGACGCGAGCGGCGGGAGCTTGGGCGCGTCGACGACGGAGGGACGCGGCGACGGCGAAGCGTCCGCGAAGAGATAGCGACGGAAGACGACGACGACTGCGTGATGAAAATGGACGATCATCGTCGTCTTCTCTTCTCTTCCGCGCCCTCCGCGTCCGCCTCCTCCTCGACCGCACGCGTCGCCGCGCGGTCGCCTTCTCTGAACGCGCCGAGGCTCCCGTCTGCGTCCGCCATGTCCACGAGCGCTGCCGACCATTTCGGGTTAGGTACATTGTAGGGTTTAGGGAGGTTTAGGGTGTAGAACTGGGGCGAAGATGACGCGCGCGGCGAAGAGAGACGACCGGGTTTAGCGCCGGGAGGGATCCTCGAGGAACGGCGCGCACCTAAAAAGTCGTCGCTGCGCCGCAGCAGCGGCGCGTCCAGCAGTCGGAACGTAAACTTCATCGGAACCTTCCTCGGGTCGTGCTCGAGCGCGCGCAGGCGGCCGCAGTAGACGTACTCGCATCCTTCCATGCGCGCGAAGAGGTGAAGCGGCCACGCCGGCGGTTCCTTCGCGTCCTCATCCCCATCTGCATCTGCATCCCTCGTCGTCGTCGTCGTGGGGTCCACTCGCCCCTCCGCGTCGTCGTCGGCCGGCGCGGCGTCGGCGATGGACGCGCGCGGAGACAACGCCGCCGGCGCCGTCTCGCGTGCCAAACGAGCCGTGGACCCGTCGACGCTCGGACCCGCGGCGTTCAAGATGCGCTCGATCACGGGCGTCGCCTTGATGTGGTGAACGATGACAGGAAACAGGGCAGGCGGTGAGAAGGAATGACGTGAGCGAGGGCGCGATCGATCGCGTCGGCGGTCGGCCAGAATCAGAACGAGACCGCTGGCGTCGCGGGCGAAGAGGAGAGCGCGCACTCTGAAACCGAATGACGAAACGCGAACGAACCTCCGTCTGCCGTGGCTGCGCGAACCACGTGATCCTTCCACCCGCGTGCGTGAAGACGTTGTCGTACGCATTACCGTTCTTATCCCCGACGTTGACGAACAGGCACACGACGTTTTTGAACTCCTGAATGCCGCTGTACTTTGAAAATCGCGCGTCGCGACGCGGTGCGGCGAGCGCGTGAATCACCGCCGCTTTCTTCGCGCCGGTGCCGTCGCCGATCGAGGCGCCGAGGTGATTCGCCGCGAACGCGCGCGCGCGCACGACGAGCGTCTTGATGCCCCCCTTCGCCGGCGGTGCCGCGGGCGACTTCGCCTTCGCGGACGCGGTCGCGACCGCGGCGACGCGCGTCGGTTTCGGTTTCGGTTTCGGTTTCGGCAGGTCGCTCGCCGCGCGTCGTCGCGCGGCGTCGTCGCCCAGATCCTCGTCGCGCTCGAACGTCGTGTACACGCGCGCGGGGAGGCGTCGAACGCGGTCCGACCGTCGCAGGTCTTCCAGGTCGATCGCGATTCGCGCACGCTTTTCCTTCGCCTTCACCCTCGCGCGCGGCGGCGGCGAGGGCGTCGTCGTCAGCGCGTTCGGGAGGTCGCCCACGAGCGCGAGGAGGATCGCGCGATTGCGCGCGATCCGCGCTTCGCGCTTTCGCTCGTATTCGGTCAACATCGCGACGAACGCGCGGGCGGACGGACGCGCAGACGGGCGGTCGCGCAGGTTTCGGAAGCGCACGCGCGAGAAGGCGCGAGGCGGCGGCCGTTCGCCGCGCGCTGAAGCGTGTAAACGTAATGAGGATACGAGTACAATGTACTGTACACTACTGTACGTGTACAAGACTTGTACAAGTCGTGTACACGCACGTGTAATATTGTACGAGGCTGAGCAGAGTAAAAGTGACCGGGGGGCATGACCGGGTTGATTTGTGACCGTTGGGTCGACTGACCCCCAAAAGCAGGGCGGATTTGGGGTTTCCAGGGTGAGCTGAACCTGTCGCCGGTTTTAAATAATTCTCGATTATTTTCACATCAGAGATTTTTAGTATTTATTCACACTCTAACCAAATAGCCCATACGAGTACAAATAAAACTACTCTTAACGTTTGGGGTCAGTCTGACAAAAAAGGGTTATTGCCATCCACGCGGGAACAAGTCCGCGAAGGGGGAGGAGGAGCAAAAAAAAAGTGCAACCAGTCTCCTCCTTTACAGCTGTACAACGGTACGTACTGTATCCCTGACGTGTACTTTCGAAAGTACTTTCGTACAACGTACAACGTTGTACGTGTAGCCCTACACGTACGGTACAACGTACAGTACACGACTACACGTACAGTACACGCACGTGTACACTGTACAGCTGTACACGTACAGTACATAGCTACATACAGTACAATAAAATCCTTGCAATTTTATTTCCGAAAATAAAATAGGGCTACGTACACGTACACGTACACTGTACAACTACTGTACAGTACGTGTACACGTGTACACTAAAAGTTATCAATATGGAAGTACTTCCGTACCTTCGAAGGTACTTCCGGAAGTACTTTCGTACCTTCGAAGGCGTTGATATTGTTGATATAACGTGTTGTATGTGTACAACCGGTGTTGGCCTACACGGGTCTGTCGACCGTGCGGAGGATACGGTGGGCGTTGTGTTGTGTTTCTAGAGACTATTAACAACTTATCGGAACAGCTACCTTCGAAGGTAGTCATTCTGTACACATGTACAACTACACGTGTACAGCTGTACACCGCGTTACTGTTGTACATATCGATACCTTCGTACGAAGATAGATACAACTAGAAGATATGATACGTGTACGTGTAGCTAGCCCTACAGCACACGGTTGTACATGTACAATAGAATACACTACGGAAGTACTGAGAAATAGATATCCGATACGGAAGTACGAAAGTACAACGTTGTACTGTAGGCCCTACGTGTACGGAAATAGATACGAAGGTACGAAGGTACCTTCGAAGGTACGAAAGTACCTTCGTACACACTATGATACCTTCGTACGGAAATACGAAGGTAATAAATACGAAAGTACGAAAGTATTTACTGTATCTTCGAAGGCACTTTCGTACGAATGTACACAACTTGTACACGTACGTGTACACGTACACATCGGTACAACATTTTTACGATGCAAGTTTTCCATATTTCGTTCAGAAGCGTTGTATAAAATCATGCAAACGCCCACAGGATCTACGTGCCGATACGACAGGTAATGTGCCTATGTTCGTCTCTGTCTGAAGTGTCCCGGTGCTCACCTATCTGACTTACAGCTCTTTAAGTTTACTCACAAAAAAGTTCGTCTTTCTCCTCGAAAAAGCCGAGGAAGGCACAATAAATCTGAATCGAGCCGCGGAGTCTCTCGGTGTCCAGAAAAGGCGAATATACGATATTACGAACGTGTTGGAGGGCATCGGTCTTATAGAAAAGAAATCAAAAAATAATATTCAATGGAAAGTTTTACCTCCACAGTCATTCGGACTGAAATCTGGCCTATCAACAGTGACGGTACTAAGCAATTTTCCTATTTATACAAAAGTTGAAAGGTATTCATTTTGACAGGAAGAGATAAGAAGCATGCAAAATGACGAAATCAACCTCGACGAGCATATACAGAACATGCGAAGGAGTATGCATGTTTTGCTTGAAGATCCCGCTCACAAGGTCAATATATGTGGCAAAGCAAATTGAGAGTACTAAATCTATCTATACCCAGGGAAACCTCTTCGTCTCAGAGGAAGACATAAAAGACTTCTTTTCTTTTCGCTCAGAAACCCTAGTCGCCGTTCGTGCACCCCATGGAACTACACTTGAAGTTCCAGATCCAGATGACAGGATGGAAATTCCTAACAAGAGATATCGAATCTTCTTGAAATCTAAAGGAGGACCAGTCGAAGTTTTTCTTGTCTCACTGCACGATAACGTGAGTGGACAGAGCTCAAAAGAGGTTCATTTCAAAAAATCACCGTAAGTCTGTACTTCACAGCTCGTTCTACTTGGGAATTCATATGAGGTTTCTGATTGTTTACATTCAGTGTCGACCATTCGTTACAAGGTGCCGGCAGAGCGACTCCTTCTCCGTCTCGTGTTCATAGCTCCTCAGCAGCAACTCTTGCACGGGCTAGTGGACATGCTCCTTGGACGTCTTATGAAGAACGTGAAATTCCAGCGATCCTTCGCATCGCACCGCCGATTTCTGACCCTGACTTTTGGTTCTCTGATGACATAAAGGAAGTCGGCATTGGCCTAAATGATATGTACACTTCAGCAGGTCTGTCAGGTGAGTTCCTTTTTTTCGCGCATAACTTTCACATGAACAACTTTTCCAGGTGAGTGCTTCTTCAACGAAGTGCTAGGTGCCGAATGAATGCTCAACGCGAATGGCTTTCATCAAATTATGGCTCTCAAGGGACATCCACTGATAATTGAGTAAATAAATATCCATATTGCTTGTCCAGACCAAACTACAGGACAGGACAGATAGGATTTGAAGTTTACCTGTATCCTCCAGCACTTGGATATGTGGCCAAGGCACGTTTGATCCGGAAAATAGCAAAACAATTAAACCTCAGCATGCACAAATAATTGGTTTTGAATTTGCGAGTACGTGTATACGTGCTAAGTCTTCATATGCTGAACGCAAAATCGAAAGCAGATCAAAGCACACTCAGCAGCAGGAGAAATATGTAACTGAGTGCTCCCCCGACCTACTTTACATTAAAAATAAACTCAAAGTCTAGGTCCTCCAATAGTTTCTTGCAGATGGTTATAATAAGCTGACCTCATACCAAGACAGTGAACCGCCTACAGATAGAAATCTATAAATACTTTAAGAAACTGGGCAGGGACTCTGCCACTCGCCTCAGGGTGCAGATTGCTTGGGCCACTGCAACGTCCTTTGGTGCACCTCCCAACGAAACACATCTGAACCCTGTCTTGGTTACCTTGAAATCTTTGCGGTACACTTCATCCAAATTTTCTACCAGCATCTCGATTACTTCAAGATCAGCATTGACAACAAAATCTAATACACCAGCCCGTGCATCCAACACGATGTGCGTCACCCCGAGCTCTCCTGCCAAAGCGCGCAACCGAAAAAAGTTAAATGCAGCTGACGTAACTTTGTCAGGCACGCCAAAGCACGCCTCGAGCGATGAAATCGCACTCTCTACCTCGGAAATTGAGCGAGATGCATTCAGGGAGTTTTCGGCCAAGTTCCGAACATCTGCTGTTATCACGTAAGAGTCACTGATGGGTGATAGCTCAGTGAAGTCTGGTGTCACAACATTCTGTGGCTTCATTGGATTCAGTTTAAGCTTCTCTATCTGCTCCAATTGATTGTACAAGAATTCCATGTATAAGTCAGCACCGATGTTGTCAACTTGACCGCTCTGCTTTTCCCCAAAAATAGTGCCGACTCCTCGTATAGCCATGTCACGCTCTGCTAACTTGAAACCCTCTCCTAGGCCGCAGCATTCTTCGAGTGCAAGCAGGCGTTCCTGTGCTTCACTACGCAGGTCCCCGATATCTGCGTGGAACATATAAGCATATGCCTGCCGACAAGCGCGGCCAACGCGCCCTCGAAGTTGGTACAAGCTTGCTAGACCAAACTGTTGTACTTCCTCTATGATGATAGTATTGACATTTGGTATATCAAGTCCAGATTCAACAATCGTGGTGCAGAGGAGCACATCAGCCTTGCCACACGCAAAGTAATCCATGGCAATGTCGAGCTGATCGCCCTTCATCTTTCCGTGAGCTTTCATGATTCGTAGGCATGGGAACAATCCTTGCAAACGCTGCAGTGCACCATCAATCATTTGAATCTTAGGCACAACATAAAATATTTGGCCTCCGCGGTCAAGTTCAAATTGTATAGCATCGCACACTGTTTTTTCATTATATACCTGTAGCTGAGTATTTATTGGTCGACGTTCTGGAGGAGGGGTTGTTACAAGAGATGCATCACGAAATCCCGTAATTGCCATGTGTAAGGTTCGAGGAATGGGAGTTGCAGACAGTGTCAATACATCTACGGTTGCTTTCAAAGCGGAAATCTGATCTTTGTGTTTTACACCGAACCGTTGTTCCTCGTCAATCACCAGGAGGTTTAGTCTCTTATAATTTTCAGGAGGCAAGTTAAGCATAAGATGCGTTCCAACGACCACATCAGTCTTCCCCATCATCCAACGTTGCAAGACGGCCAGTCGAGAGCTTTCCTTGACGTTTCTATTCAGTAATTCAACCGACATATCAAATATTTCGAGCCTCGCACTAATCGTTGCCGCATGCTGTTTGGCCAGCACAGTTGTTGGTGCAAGGACAAAAACCTGCCCCCCGCTCGATAATACCCTAAATATTGCTCGCATCGCAACTTCTGTCTTTCCGAAGCCAACGTCTCCAACCACGATTCGATCCATAGGAGTATCACGCTTGGAAAGATCATCATAGCAGTCCCTTATTGCCGTGGCCTGATCTGGAGTAAGAGTGTACGAAAAACTGTCATTGAACCGTTTGTATATGTCTTCACAGGGTGGAGTATAAGGTGCCCGGATGCAGTGAAGTCGTTTCAAGTAAAGAGACATCTGATTCACCACAAGCTGCCGAATGTG